GCTCCTGGAGATTTTCTGGCTATTGAAAGGTCACCAGGAGACCAGACTGAAAGGTATGGCCGCTTAATATTTCTGTATTTCCTTATATTTTCTAGCCTGACCCACTACCTTTATGATGTTGGCTGAGTCACTGAACAGGCTGTTCTCAGTGCAGACCCCCGGCCTGATTTTTAAGAAAAACAACTAATCCTTGGATATTTTATTATTTCACTCAGTTGCCCTAAATTTGTAGCAGTGCAATTTTTTTTTTTTAATTTCACTAAACTTCAGTGATTTGACTGAATCCCTCAAAGTCCTGAATTAGAGGTAAGGAAATGGACTTCCTGCCAGGATTGCGGCATAGGTAGAAATACTTTGCCTTCTTGCACAACCAGAGGAAGGACAACAACAAATTTAAAAACAAAAAATAACCAGAACTAACAGAAAATCGAACTGCACAGAAGTCCAACAACCAAAGAGTTAAAGAAGAAACATTCACCCTGACCAATAGGAGGGGCAGCAATGGGTAGCTGGTGCGGAAAGAACACGTGGCAAGGCTGTGGCAGGTGAACCAGAGGTTCCCACATTTGTGTGCGGATAATCCTGGAAGAACAGTTGGGGAACGAGGCAAACCGCGCAGTCTAGGGTTCCATCGCAAGAAAAGAAAGCCTCAAAACCTCTGGCTGTAAAAACCTATGGAGGATGCCACAGCAGGAGGAACTCCAAGCATCACAGGAGAGTTCATTGGAGAGATCCACAGAACGTACACAAACCCAACCACCCGGGAATCAGCACTAGAAGGCCACAATTTGCTTGTGGGTAGCAGGGGAAGTGACTGAAAGTCAAGGGCCATGCAAGCGACATTGTTCCCTCTCAAACCCCTCCCCTACATCCAGCATCATAGTGCAGCAACCTGGGTTGCCCTGCCCTGGCAGATACCTAAGGCTCCACCCCTTCCAACATAACAGGCACACTGAGACAAAGAAATATGGCCTAAATGAAAGAACAGATCAAAGCTCCAAAAATAGAACAAAGCGATGAAGAGATAGCCAACCTGTCAGGAGCACAGTTCAAAACACTGGTAATCTGGATGCTCACTGAATTGGATGAGTATGGTCGCAAAATGGAGGAAAAAGCGAAGGCTGTGCAAGGTGAAATAAAGAAAAATATATAGGGAACCAACAGGAAAGGGAAGGAAACTGGACTCAAATCAACGATTTGGAGCAGAAGGAAGAGAAAACATTCAACCAGAACAGAATGAAGAAACAAGAATTCAAAAAAATGAGGAGAGGCTTAGGAACCTCTGGGACATCTTTAAACATTCCAACATCCAAATCGTAGGGGTGCCAGAAGGAGAAGAAGGAGAGCAAGGAATTGAAAACTTGTTTGAAAAAAACGTTGAGGAAGGAGAACTTCCCCAATCTGGCCAAGGAAATAGACTTCCAGGAGACCAGGAAGCTCAAAGAGTGCCAAAGATGTTTGACCCAAGGAAGCACACACCAAGGCACATCATAATTAAGTTATTACCCAAGATAAGGAGAGAATCTTAAAAGCAGCAAGAGAAAATGAGACAGTTACCTACAAAGGAGTTCCCATAAGACTATCAGCTGATTTCTCCAAAGAAACCTTGCAGGCAAGAAGGGGCTGGCAAGAAGTTTTCTTCGAAGTCATGAGAAGCAAGGACCTACATCCAAGATTACTCTATCCAGCAAAGCAATCATTTAGAATGGAAGGGCAGATAAAGTGCTTCCCAGATAAGGTAAAATTAAAGGAGTTCATCATCAAGCCCTTATTATATGAAATGTTAAAGGGACTTATCTAAGAAAAAGATTGTCAAAAACTATGAACAGTAAAATGACAACAAACTCACAGCTATCAACAACTGAACCTAAAAAATAAAAATTAAAAAAAAAACAAACAAACAACTAGAATAGGAACAGAATCACAGAAATGGAGATCAGAGGGAAGGGGATACGGGGGAAAAGGTACAGGGAATAAGAAGCATAAATAGTAGGTACAAAATAGGGGGAGGTTAAGAATAGTATAGGAAATGGAGAAGCCAAAGAACTTATATGTACGACCCATGGACATGAACTGAGAGAGAGCAGGAAATGCTGGTGGGAGAGTGGGTGCTGGGCATAGGGGAATAAAGGGGAGGGGAAAAAAGGGACAACTGTACTAGCATAATCAATTATTTTATATATATTTTTATGTGTGTGTATATAAAAAAATAATAAGAAATAAGGAAATGGGCATTCCTTTAGACCTGCCCTTTTTTGTGTTACTATGTAAAGTAGAAATATGTCTATAATTTGGGAGAGATTCAGAGAAGTTAAATGACACATTTAATTCATGCACATATATGTGGTAGAAGGGGAATTCTGACCCTGACCATCTGACTTTTAACTTTGTCTTTCCATCACACCATGTCTCCTTTCAGGAGCAGAGTGAGTCCCTTCAGAAAGACCACTGTTACCCTTGCTAACTTTCCAATTTGAAGAACTTTAAAGAAGCTGTGAAATCCATTATGGAGCTAAAACTGACTTCGTAGGCTTTCTGATACTTCAATCAGAGGGCATGTAGAACATTAAGAGTGGTGTGCAGATTTAAGAAATAATTATTTATGTGCAGAAATAGATAATATTCATTCTGTTAGGTCTAAAGATCCAAGCCCGATTCCATCTCTGAGAAAGAAGATAATAACTTATTGTGAAAGGTGCACTTGTTCCTTGCCAATGGTAGAGTTATGTGTCTGGTTGACCCATCCGCTCCATCACCATCACAGGCACATGACTGGCCAGCTGGTTGGAGGTGGCCGTGCTGTGGTGGGAGCACAGAACCCATAGGCCAACGACCAGGGCAGTGCTGCTCCCTGTTTCAGCCTCCACCTCCTTGTCTGCAAAACGAGGCCAGGGTTCCTGCTTCGTAGGGCTGTTGGAAATTCAAATGAGAGATGTAGATTAAAAACCTTTGTGAACAATATGTTCCTTGGCACATCTGAGGAGCAAGACATTAAAGGAAACATTATAGCATAGTGGTTAGGAGCTCAGACTCTCGAGTCAGGCTTGCTGGTGGGAAAAGACAAATTTTATTTCTAGGAAGATCGCTTCGAGAGGAGACAGGTCTACAGGAATACGTCTGATACCACCTGTGCTGGATTTGTAGCCTTTGGTGCAACCCTGTGGCTTGGTCGTCTCATGACTCATATCAAGGTGGTGATGCTCGGAATAAGGTCAGCTGCCTGAATTACCCAGCACTTTGCAAATCTTAAACATATTTGAAACCCTGATAATCAGCTGAATCAGTACAGGCATTCAAACTGCAGCATTTATTAGATGGAGTTTTCCTCATGGGCCCTAAATTCTATTACAAGAAATTTCAAGAGTCTTAAATAAAATTGCTTCCTGTTAAAAAAAAGAAGAAGAAAGAAAGAAAAAAAAAGCATTACTAAACTGGACTCATAAAGTTTGGTTTCAGTAGTGAGCGACAGAAATGGGAAAAACTATTTTAAGATAAGAAGGCAGTAGTGCGGTCCTAATTTGGGGATAAGATGGCCCAAAGTTTACCATTCTTTTATCATTTACTGAGATATGGGGCAAGTTACTTCACTTCCCTGAACCTGTTCCCTCAGTTGTAAGTTGAAGGTGACACAGGACGTTATTCGCTTTTAACAACCTTTTGAGATAATGCATTTAAGGCATTTAGCACAGTTCTCGGCACATAGTGAGCACTCAGTAAATATTACTGTTATGTTTAGGCAAAGATGACTAATGCATTTCAAAGTGATTCAGAAGTCTAAAACAAGATGGTGGTGTCTGAAAGTAAATTTAGAATATGAAGGAAAAAGAGGTGGTTTGACTTTATTTTGTTGTGTTTTGTAATTGTTTTAAAATTAGAACTATAGGTTAAGATTCTTACGTGCCTTTCTGGTGGGGATGGGAGCAATATTTGCTGAATCTGTGGGACCAAAAAAAAAAAAAAAAAAGATGGACAATTGATTCTATAGCACGTGAAGACAAAAAGAACTATTGACCATGTAATCATTACTGCGAAAGCCTCATTGAACAGCTAGCCTGCCATTTCAACATTATTACCATCCCACCTTCTCTTGAAGGCCTCTCCTAACCATTTCAGCACACAGTGATCTCCCCTGAGAACCCATAAAGCTTACTGACCCCATTTGGCCTGAGAAAGCACTGAGGCAGTTACCTGCCCTGTCCTGTGGCCCTGCTCCCTAGGGGGCAGCGATCAGCACTCCTCAGCGGGGGGCTGGGACAGGCCTGCGGGCCGGGGGCGCTGGAGTTCCTGTCGTGCCTGGGGAGCCTGGGGAGCGTGCCTTCAGAATACCCTCCCGCATATTCCAGAGAAGGTGCTGATACATGAAATGACGTTTGGTGTTTGCTGTGTGTCAGCATTGAAGAATAAATGGGTTAGGGTGGGAAATGAGCACCTGGGCCAGCGCTCCCCGGAGAATTAAAAGTCGCAAAATAATGTCCTTGAGGAAAGAAAGGCAAAAATCTTAACAGACATGACAGGAATTTTAAATAGTGCCCATGGTGAGTGGAAGTGAGAAATGCAGACAGAGATGGTTTCCCTGGGCCCCGCTGAAGAAGTGGGTGGGGAAATTCAGGACTTCCTACTGTCGTAGGTTTATGTGCCTTGCTCTTTTTTGTAATAGACTGAGACTTTCTCTCAATTTAGTATATTTTTGCAGTGTGCAGCGTAATAATGATGATACTTAACACATCAGAGTTTACTAGTTTCTAGACCTGTTTCCTCTGATCAGCAGCAAAGTGGTCTTGGACCTACACAGAGTCATTCATGGTGGAGGTAGGGGTAGGCGTTTGTCTTGTTTGGGTCCTAGAGAACAATTAGACCCAGGGGAGGAAACAGCACCTCATCTTGTACGCCTTATAGAATAAAGAGTTGCAAAGAACTGCTTCAGAAATGAAAGGCAAAAATCTAAACACACTTATTTGCATGACCTCTGAATCAGCTCTGAAGGTCTCCTCTGCTTACAGGCATCAGAAGTTGAGAGACAGCTCTCCATGCAAGTCCACGCCCTGAGAGAAGACTTTCGGGAGAAAAACTCATCGACTAACCAGCACATCATCCGTCTGGAAAGCCTTCAGGCTGAGGTGAGCCTCCCCTGCGCACTGGAGGCACGGCAGCGGGCCTTTTAGATAAGGAACCCTCTGAACTGAGAAACAAAGAAACAAAACTCAGCTCTATCTAAAATCTCTAGAGAGACATACCTGTGAGAAAGCAAATGGGGAACACTTGATCCACGTTCCTCTGGGTAGTCTGTTGTCTGGGAAAATAAGGTTGCTCAGAGTGACTGCTGAGTGTTTTGAAATCATGAATGACCTACTTTTTACTGAATATGTTGATTCCTCCAAAAGCATCCTTGCCAATCCTAACTAGAAGGTGGGAAAGGGAATCTTCCCTTTCTCGACTCCATTTGGGTCCAGTTCCATTCACCTTAATTGGGCCTATTCTCGCCTATAAAATGAGAGCAATACAGTACCTACTTCACAGGGCTGTTGTGAGGATTTGCTAAGTTAATAGGTGGAAAGCACTTTGGTGTGGTGTTTGGAATATTGTAATGTCATTGAAAGTGAGAGGCCAGTCAGGGCCCATGGTTCTGAGGGGGCCTGAGGGAAGAACAAAGTAGCACTTCGGTGAGAACAAAGTAGCACTTCGGTGAGGATACCGTGAGAATCCAGGCGTGGGAGGTGAGGAGAAGGGAAGGATGGTACTGTCAGCCAAAACAGAGGCTCTTTCCTGGGGGGCTTCTCCCTAATCTGCTCCTGAGGACCCCTCAACCAAGTGCCTGAAAGAGCAGCCCTTCAGCTGAGTTAGACTTTGAAGGACAGACCGGTGCTAGACTGTGCAGCCCACTGTGGTTAAGCAATCGGCCAACATGGTCATGTCCAGAGAGGCAGGTTGCTCCCCTGCTTCGTAGACGATCTGAAGATGTTTTTCCTAAAGTCTGTCAATTACCTTCTCTTTTCTCTTGCCTCTCATTCCCTTCCGTCCTCCCTTCCCTTGGAATTCCTGTTGGGACTGAGCAGCAGGTTCTTGAAGTAAGTAGTTTGCTCCCCTGGGTCCGGCATGCCTGTCTGACCGTTCGTGTGCATGACTTGCCATTCAGCCGCCACAGCCAAAGTCTGGCTCCTCCCAGGGGCCAGTCTTCTCTCTCCCACACCCCCCATCCACTATTTCTAGACCCTCGTAACACAGGGCCAGTCCCAGGAATGTTGGTTGCCAGATTCGGTCACAAGTTTCAGTGTGTGTGTAGTGGGGTGAGGGAGTTGGCCACCTAATGCCGATTGCTTGCTTCCCCTAACGCTGCTACTTTTAAAAGCCAAGCTATGAAATTGTTCATTTCAAGTAAGATACTTCATGGGGCCAGGGGGCTCTATTTCAGTACCATGTTTCCTCATTGCTTCACTGAGTGGAACTTGGGAAGCAAAGATGATCCATGGGAAGGAAAATGTAAAGGTCAAGAGGGTGTTTAAATGAAAATCAACTAGAGTAAGAATTCCCTTCACGTGGGTAACGTTGCTTCGGTGTAGGGAATAGTGGGCCCATTCACAAAAGGGGCCTGTTCCTTTTGGTCCCTTACCCAGGTGCATACTTGAGAGACAGTCTTTCTTTGTTTGGCCAGATACCTGATCTCTCTGGACAAAGGCCACATACTTCATTTCCCCAGGACGACATCCTATCTGATTGATTGGTGGCCATGGAAGATCTGTGCCCTATGAACAGAATTCTAGTGCAGAGTGAGAGCAGCCAAAAAGCAGAGGGAGAGGTAGATTTCGGAGGACCTGGGACAAGCAGACATTCATTTCAAAGTCTCCCCTGGAAAAGGTCTGAGTTTTGTACCCCTTAGTGAATAGTCATCATCGCTAGACTAGAGAGCATGGAGAATGTCTTAACCCTGTCAGGAGAATATTTACAAGCAAGACACTGGTTGAGAAATTAGACCAGCAGGGAACTGATAAACAGAAGGAGCCAAGGGGACCTGCAGGTCTCCTGAAGCCCCCAGAGGCCACTTGGGAAGGTGCCCGGAGCCCGGAGCGCGGCCGCACTCCGGGGCGAAGCCCTGCCGGATCGGGGAGTGCTGAAACAGCTTCTCACCCTGCAGTCCTAGAGGCCAGAGAAAACCTGGCATCTCTTTGCTCTTTCCTGTTTTCCAGCTGAAACTGAAGAGACCAGACAGACCTTCCTAAAAGATTGATATCTCTCTGGAGACTGGCTAAATATTCAGTGTACAGACATACCAACCTGTTTAATAAAAGGAGAGAAATTGCTTCTGTTCACAAATTGCTTGCTCAAGCAAAAGATACCTTGCGTAAAATCAGTTAATCACTTGTGCCTTTGGCTTGTTCCTCCCAGGACACAGGCTAAAGCAAGCACTGCTTTGTTTCCCATACCCTGCCCCCTCCCCCTGTTAACTCAGGTCTGAACTGTGAACTCCAGAGCCGTACCTGCTAGCAGTGGGGAAAGACAGTCATAGAATATGAAAGTGCAGCGGCCCCAGAGGCTTGCTTGGGCATTTTCTTGAGCTCATGCCTTGAGAAGGAAGAATGGTACAGCGGGTTAGGTTCCACTCCCTCGTAAATTGTGGGGTGGAAGTGAAGTCATGGGCAGGCCAGGTAGGCTCTTCTCTGTCTTATCTGTGGAAATTCCAGAACACTAACCTTCCCTCCCTCTGCCTGGCATCCCACATTCCAGCTTCCCGTAAGCTCTACTCCCACCCCTTCCCAGACAGGTTTCTAGAAGGGAGGGGTTTTCTCTTCAGCTTAGGAGTTCACAGCAGCTATCTCAGAGATGGGGGCTCATCCCTCCCTTCCTCCTACTCATCGGCCTGGTGTAACTCCACACCACGCCCCTGGCTCTCCACCCTTTCAGATCAAGATGCTGTCGGATCGGAAACGGGAGCTGGAGCTTCGCCTCAGCGCCACCTTAGAGGAAAATGACCTGCTCCAGGGGACTGTGGAGGAGCTACAGGACCGGGTGCTGATCCTGGAGAGGCAGGGCCATGACAAAGACCTGCAGGTACTGCGGCAGAGAAACTGTCCTGTAGCACTAGAGCCAGAGAAGAGGACTGCTTAGCTGCCTCGCTGGCACCACCTCCGGGGTCAGGAGTGGGCGAAGTCACCCTGCAGGCAGGGCCGTAGTTCTCGCGCACTCACTACCTTGGCTGGCCCGGCCCTGCCCGGGGGAACCGCATCACTGCCCACAGGTCTTCCTTCTGTTTTGTTCTGAGCCGCTAGCGCCTCAGGCAGTTTCACGTTCTTTCTGGGCTATTGACGTGGCTGGAACTCCGGGAGTGTCATTCTGCCTCCTGGGGTTGGAAATCTGCTAGAGATTTCTGAGGGGCCTGTGACGTCCTGTGCTGGGCTCAAAGTGCTCTCTGCGGCTACTTCCCCAGGCTGCTGGACTTCTTGGCGTGAACCAAGAAGCTGCCCACCAAACGCAGCAAGACTCTATCTCCTGCTTCTGCCAGTTGCTAGAAAAGGCACAGGCCGACCCCTTTGTGAGCCAAGTTAGCTTCTTTTTTCTCAATAAAGGAAATTGCTTCATGGCCACATTGGTCCTTATTTGGAAACGGCCACCAGGCCTCAGCTTTATCCCCAAGCTTACACTTGATAAGAAACAACTCTCTAAACAAGATAGGCACTCCTAGCCTCCCCAGAAATAAAATGTAGCATCTGCTACCAAGAAAGCTTTGGTGGGGTGGCATAGGAGCCCCCCGGGCCGGCGGCCTAGAGCGCATGGCTCCCCCTCAGCATCCTCAGGGCACGCTGGGGAGGGGAGCGGGTTGCAGCAGAGCCGTTTGTGTGGCGACGGTCGGCCAAGCATGCCCCAGCACCAGGAGGGCCCCCGCCTGAAGACCAGGCCACAGAAGGCCCCCTGGGCTCTCGGTGGTCAGCGGCCGAGGGAAGCCTTGGGATGTGGGATAAAGAAGCGTTTTAGGCGAAGATCAGTTTTTACTGACATCATCAGATCAGCTACCATCTGCAAGATTAACCTCCTTAAGGGCAAATTAGAAGTTTTTCTCCTTTTTTTGTTTTTTGGGGTTTTTTTTTTAGATTTTATTTATTTATTTGTAGAGGGAGGGAGAGAAACATCAATGTGTGAGAGATACATTGACCGGTTCCTTCTCGTACGCCCCCAACTGGGGACCTGGCTTGCAACCCAGACATGTGCCCTGACTGGGAATTGAACTGGCAACCTTTCAGTTCGCAGGCCGGCACTCAGTCCACTGATCCACACCAGCCAGGGCTCTCCATGTTTCTGTACCTTCAGCTCAGAACTTGGCACATAGCAAGGGCCTCAGTTAATATTGAATAGAACATGGTGCTGGCTGAAGCCTCACAGCCACTTTCAGGATGAGAAGGTGCACGCTCGTATTTTAAGGTTGATGATAATAGCAGTGAACGTTTGTATTCTTCTTGACAGGGAACAAAGTAGGTTTGCATACATTCTAAGACTGAGGGTTAGAAAAAATGAATTGTCTATCCCTGGTAGTGTAGTCAGTCTTGGCAGAACCCTCCCCGCTTCACCTGCTGCTAAACAATAACTTCTGACCTGCCACTGGCCTCTGCAAGTCAGTGTTTCACCAGCATTTATTACCCCATCAAGAGAGGAGAAGGAAAAGAACTACAGAAAAATGGAAAAACAGCCCCCATCTAGAAGAAACTTCCAGTCTAGCATGAATTCATAGATGAAGTGTCCTTATTTCGAATCAAGAACTAGGGGCTTGGGGGTGAGGAAGAGTTAGTGTGGACCACCCAGGGCTTGGCTGGCACCGTGGGCTGGGTGTTTTCTGGAATCCCAGGTCACACCACACTTGCATCCCCACCATCTGCACATCCTCTGTCGTCTGATGGGACCTCTCCAAGAAGGAGAGCTTCACTCACCGCAGGGCCTCCAGCAGGTCAGGCACTTCTCCCTTTGAATTGGAAAATCTGCACTGAAGGACTGAATTCTCACCTTTCCCAACTATTTGTAATTCTTGGTCTTCAGTCCATACAAAACTCTCCTTCAGCTGACACTGATTACTAGTGTCCTCCCGAAAACCCTTTCTGAAGGGTTGCTGAAATGGCCTGTGTGGATACAGAAATAAAAATTCCAGCTTACTCAGGTTGGATGGTTCTAAATCAGATTTGTGCAATATAGAGCTAGTGGCCCTGGAACATACATAATCTCATAATTTTAATCCTTTCATGCGGACGAGGAGTGAGAGGAGAGCTAAGCAGGCACAGTAACAAGCCTGCTACGACCCGAGTAGCTCTGACCTGGCTCGCTGTGTCGCTGGGTGCTGTCAGACACAGATTTTTAAACCACTGATCAAATCCAACCTTGATTTTTTTTTCAGGCTAAGACTAGGGATAAAAATTATTATTGATCAAGGGCCCAGTGAATTTTAAAAATCAAGCATTTTGCTAAACTCTCTTAATACCCAGTAAAGGCTATTGTCCCTTTAAGGGCCTCTTAACTGCCCTATTTCACACCCAGCTGGGCATCGTACAGGTGTGTGCAGGGGCCTCATCCCAGTGAGTGGGCAGATCAGCAGGGAGCGCAGGCCCCACTGCAGTGCGGCCCAGAAAGCAGGTGACTTGGAGTCCAGACCCTGCTCCAACATGGAGCCTGCACTGTCAGGCAAATCACTTAATATCACACCATCTCGGTTCCCTCAGTATAGAATGAGGAGAGTGCACCCACTTCTGCCGACATTGGAGACATGAATATTGTGAACTTATTGTACTGTACAAACACAAGTCTTCCGTTGTCTTTCTTGTTCCTATATATATATATATATATAAAATGTAAATACAGTTTGTGTTATCTCTGTTACATAAAGGATATTTCTGCCCTGGCTGGTGTGGCTTAGTGGATTGAGTGCCGGCCCACAAACCAAAAGGTCGCTAGTTCGATTCCCAGTTGGGGCACATGGCAGGGTTGCAGGCCAGGTCCCCAGTAGGGAGCGCACAAGAGGCAACCACACATTGATGTTTTTCTCTCTCTCTTTCTCCTTTCCTTTCCCTCTCTCTAAAAATAAATAAAATCTTTTATTTTTAAAAAAGGATGATATTTCTTATTTTAGAGGGTCCTTATATTTAATTAATAGATTCTTCTCTGGTTTGGTTCAGTTTTTCTATATAAGTCTGTGGATCAGTTATTGACCAGGGAGGGCAGACCTGTCCTGAGGTCTTTTGTTCTCTTGCTGCTATAATTAATTAAGCACCTTTGAGTGTGCATGAGTAATTGAACTAATTTTGTCCAGCGTAGAAGAACTTGTACTTGTCTGTGCTGAACTTCTCCTGCTGAGATGTATGAGGAATTGTCTAGAAAATAATTGTAAAGCACTTTGCCAATTTAGTATGTCGTTTGTAATCATGCCAAATGCTTCCCAGGAATGTCTTTTTTTTTTAAACCCTAATTTCTTTTTTCTGAGTTTCCTCAAAACTGGGGCTGGAGGAGTTCCCACTGGACCAGTAGGTATTGCTGATCCATGGGAACTATGCAGAGCAAGCTTGCCAGTTCCTTTTTTATTCTCTGGGCAGCCAGGTTCCAAGCTCTTCCTAGTTAAGGCGCATCCAGACCACTGGTGCCATTAGCCAGCTGCTCTGCAGGACTGGCCAGCAGAGGTGAAGCGCTCAGGGCACCTAAGGACCTGGCTGAAGGCTCTGCACGCAGCCTGCTCTGCCGTTCTCCAGAGCCGAGCTCTTGAGTTGCTGCCTGCCGACCCTTGGCCTCTGCATCTCTGTTGGAGCCACAAGCCTGCCTGGCCAGCAGTCTGGAAAAAACAGTAAAGTGTCAGCTCTATTTTTAATGAACAGAAGTGACCCCAGAGGAGCTCTTTTATAAGAGGATAAATTAGTTAACTTTAAATCCCAAGAAGTTCTTTCCCCTACCCCTGGAAAAAATCTTTTGGGGGGATGTAAGGGGCAGTCTACAAGAGTAGGAAACATTGTTCCTGGGCAGATAGAGTACATGGACATGTGCATAGCAGTTAGTAAATGGATGAAGATGCTGCAGTTAAAGGTCTTATGTTAGAAACAAGTGTAGTGATGGAGTTTTAAGAGTGTGGCATGTAGCAGTCATGGTGGAGTCAGTCCTTACATTCAGCACTAGTAACATCACCAGGTAGCAGAATCCTATTTGGACTCCACAGGGGAAGGGCCACAGAGAATACAGAGAAGTAGCAGCAGCGAGAGAGAGAGAAGGAGCGCTGGTCTGCAAGCCGTGACACCGGCACTGCTGTATCGCTCTCCTTCTCTGAGCCCCAGATGCTGAGGAAGTCCCCTCCCAGAACTAGAGCTTTGTCCATGAACCGTGAGGAATGACACAGAAGGCAGAGACTGCTTTTCCCATGGGTTTGGGAACTCTTGGTAGTACTACCCAGACGTTATTCCAAATCCCACCCGTGTCTCTTTTCCAAACAACCTTAATTTTTTCATCTATATAGTAAAGTATGCAAGTCTTAAGTGGATAGCCCAGTGAATGTTTATAAGTATATGTACCTGTGTAACCACCACGCAGCTCAACACATCAGCCTCCCACAAACCTCCTCCCAGGCAATTCCCTGCCACTTCCTCAAAAATAAACCTCTATTTCAATTTTCATCTCTTATATCTCAGTAAAGTTTGGGCACTTTTTATAAATGGAATCATACATTGTTTTGTGCCTGGTTTTTGCTCAACATGATGTCTATAAACTCATCCATGCTGTAGCATATGGTAGCAGTGTGTTCTTGCTTTACAGCAGTATAGTGTTCCAGCATGGGAATATGTCCATTCTATTCTTACTGCGTTTGGATTGTTTCCCATTTGTGGCTCTTAGGAATAATGCCTCTGTGAACATCCTGTTTGTCTTCTGTTCACGTCTGTGGTCATTTGTGTTGGGTCTGCGCCTTAAGAGTGGAGCTGCTGGATCATGGGATCGGTGTGTGTTTCACTCATTAGAAACTGCCGAACACTTTGCCAAGGTGGCTGTACGTCTTCCACCCTCAGCGGCAGTGAGTCCCAGTTGTTCCGCACCTTCATTAACACTTGATATTATTATTTTGTTGTTATTTATTTATCTATCTATTTATTTATTTATCTTAGCCATCTTTGGTGAGAGCCTAATGGTATGTTACCCATATGTGAGCATGTTTAATTTTTATTATGGAGTCTTTCAGGCAAACTCAGAAACAGAATAGTGCGATAAGGCCTCCATGTACCCCACTGCCCAGCTCTACGAACTCTCGATCCCTTACCAGTCCTCATCACATCCACTTGATCCTTTCTTGTATTATTTTAAAGTAAATCCAAGAATTTTTATAATTTCATCTGTTAATAACAAATACCTCTAAATGATAAGAACTTAAAAATGTAACCACAGGCCTATTAGACCTAAAAAATTAACAATGTTTTCTTAATATCATCAAGTAGTTAATCAGTGTTCAAATTTTCAGTTGTCTTATAAATGTCATGATTGCTTTTCACATTTTTTATTTGAATCAAAGTACAAATTAAAGTAGGTCTGCAGCCTGGCAAGTAGTTGCAGGGCCAAGATAGCGGCACAGGTAAACACGGCTTGCCTCCTTACACAACCACATCAAAATCACAACTGAAACGTAGACAGCTATCACTTAGAACCATCAGAAATTGAGTTGAATGGAAGTTTGACAAGAGTGGAATTAAAGAAACCATATCTATCAAGACTGGTAGGAGAGGTGAAGACGCGGAATGGGCTGTTCCCACACCCACATGTGGTGGGTAAAAATTGGGGAGGGATATCTTAGGAGCGAGGAGTCCCAGCCCCACACCAGGCCCCCCAGCCCAACGTTCCAGTGCCAGGAAGATAAGTTCCCATAATTCCTGGCTGCAAAAACCAGTAGGGATTGAGTCAGTGCAAGAAACTTCTACAGTCCCAAGTAGTTTCCCTTAAAGAACCCACACACAGACTTACTCAGATTCACTGTCTCTGAGCTCTAGCACCAGGTAGCAGCTGGAAAGTCTCCAGTGGCATATGGGGAGGAACTGAAGTGTCTGGCCTCAAGATGAGAGCTGGGAGACAACTTTCTCCCAGACAGAAAGATGGGCAGAGGCCATTGTTATTTTCTGAGCCCTTCCCCCACAGAACCACGGAGCTGGCAGGCTGGTACCGTATCTGAGACTCCATCAACATGGCTAACACTGTTTGCCCCACCCTGGAAATCCCCCAAGACTCCATCCCACCGGGCCCACCCAAACTCTTAACTGTAACTTTTCCATATGAATGGCTGTTCTTGGCTCATGCTTCACAACTTCCTAAATCCTATCAAACAAGCAACAGTTGGTCTCAATGAGCCTCCAGCCCCAATACCTCTTGTTAAGTGGCCCCAGGCATTAGCAGCAGCCGGCCTAGATTCAGTTTAGCCTCACCTGGAACTCTCCAAGCCCAGCACAAGTAGCCAACATCTCAGGCTGCTTTATAGCTCTTGCAGGGTGGCCCCAGGCAGAACACATGTAGGGACTGACCTTGGTCTGCACCTTCTGAAATCCCAGAGCATGCACACCCAGTGGACAGCTACACTAGCGCACCACCACCCTGCCCCTGCACAGCTGGTCCTCCACAGAAGGCAGGGGTGGTGGTCAGTGGTCACAGCCCGTCGTTGCAGTTGACTGGCTTGGGTAAATCCCTCCCATTGACCTGCCAACAGCAATCAGGACTCAACTACAAGAGGAGGGTATATTCATCCCACATAGATTGTGCACCTCAAGTACCCAGCCTGGGTGATAGGGACAGCCATGCCACTGGACACTATAGGACACCTACTACATTAGGCCATGCTTCTAAGACAGGGAGTCATAGCAGCTCTATCTAATATGTAGAAACAAACACAGGGAGGCTGCCAAAACGAGGAGACAAAGAAACATGACCCAAATGAAAGAATAGATCGAAACTCCGTGAAAAGAACTAAACAAAATGGAGATAAGCAGTCTATCAGATGCAGAGTTCAAAACACTGGTTAAAAGGACACTCAAGGAACTTAGTGAATACCTCAATACCATAAAAAAGACCCAATCAGAAATGAAGGATACACTAATTGAAATAAAGAATAATTTACAAGGAAACAACAGTTGAGTGGAGGAAGATGAGAACCAAATCAATGATTTGGAACATAAGGAAGCAAAAAACAACTAATCAGAACAACAAGAAGAAAAAAGAATCCAAAAAAACGAGGATAGTGGGTAAGCAGCCTCTGGAACGATTTCAAGCGTTCCAACATTCACATCATAGGGGTACCAGAAGGAAAAGAGAAAGAGCCAGAAATTGGAAATCTATTTGAAAAAATAATTAAAGAAAGCATCCCTAATTTGGTGAAGGAAATAGACATGCAAGTCCAAGAAGCACAGAGAGTCCCAAACAAGATGGATGCAAAGAGGCCCACACCAAGACACATCATAATTCAAATGCCAAAAGTTAGAGAAAATCTTAAAAGCAGCAAGAGAAGTTAGTTACCTACAGGGGTGTCCCCATAAGACTGCCAACTGATTTCTCAAAAGAAACTTTGCACGCTAGAAAGGATTGGCAAGAAATATTCAAAGTCATGAAAAGCAGGGACCTACAGCCAAGATTGCTCTATCCAGCAAAGAGATCACTTAGAACCTAAAGTCAAATAAATCTTCCCGGTCAAGAAAAAACTAAAGGAGTTCATCATTACCAAAACATTATTATATGAAGTGTTAAATGGCTTATTTAAGAAAAAGAAGATGATCAAGACTATGAACAATAAAATGGTAATAAGTACATATGTATCTACAATTGAATCTAAAAAACAAACTAAGCAAACAAGAACAGAGACAGAATCATGGATATGGAGAGCTTTTTGAAGTTTGCCAGATGGGAGGGTGTATCAGGGAATGGGCGAAGAGGTGAGAGGATTAAGAAGTACAAACTGGTAGTTACAGAATAGCCATGGGAATGTAAAGTACAGTGTAAGAAATAGAGCAGCTGAAGAACTTGTACACATGACCCCGGAACCTAAGCCATGATGTGGGAGTGGCCTGAGGGGGAAGGTGCTATGCAAGGGGGAAAAAATGGGACAACTGTAATAGCATAATGAATAAAAAATAATTTTAAAAAATTGGTCGTTACAAAACAGTCATGGGGAAGTAAGTAAAACATAAAAATATAGTCAATAATATTGTAATAACTACGTATGGTGTCAGTTGGGGTACCGGAAATAGTGGAATGCTATGTAAAGCGTAAGATTGTTTAACCACTAAGCTGTACACCCGAATACATAATAAATATATGAATTCCTAGGCAAATAAATAAATAAAATAGCGTGGAAAATAAATAAATAAAGCCCTGGCTGAAGTGGCTCAGTGGATTGAGTGCTGGCCTGCAAGCCTGTTGCCTGGGTTGCGGGCCAGGTCCCCAGTAGGGGGTGCTGGAGGGGCAGCCACACAATGATGTTTCTCTCCCTCCCTTCCCCTCTCTAAAAATAAGTAAAATCTTTTTAAAAAGATAATCTTTTAAAATCTTTTTAAAAAGGATCACTTCTCGGCCTTTTGGCTAAGGTCAATTGTAGTATCTGTTCTTATCAGTTTAAAAATAATAAAGGAGGCCTACACATTGCAGCTAGTTGGTGTCTCTTAAACCTCTTTTAATCTGTAGGTTCCCCCTTTATCTTTTCTTTTTTCATTGGAATGTATCTGTTGAAGAACCCGAGCTGTTTGTCCTGTCGAATTTCCTAAATCTGAATTTTGCAGACTGTGTCCCCTGGTGTAGTCTAGCATGTTTCTCCGTCAGTCTTTTCCTGTAGATTGGTGGTTGGATCTAGAACCACGATCAGGCTCTGGGTCAGTGTTCCTTGTTTGTTTCGGTTTTGACACGCCTCACTGCCATGTACTGTCTCTTTGAAAGCTGCATCAAAGCCAGCTGGAGCTCCAGGAGGTGCGCCTCTCCTACCGGCAGCTGCAGGTGAAGGTGGAGGAGCTCACTGAGGAGAGGAGTCTGCAGAGCTCTGCTGCCACCAGCACGTCCCTCCTGTCCGAGATCGAGCAGAGCATGGAGGCCGAGGAGCTGGAGCAAGAGAGAGAGCAGGTGCTGACACCTCTGTCACTCTGGCACGTGGGGTTGCCTTGGGACCAGAACAGGCCCCGGACTTCAGGAGCCCGGCAGTCCCCTGTTGCCCAGTGCCTACTGCGTCAGCTTTAGCCTATGCACGCGCCGAGGCTGCTGGCCCGAGCAGTCGTGAAGTAGGCCCTGACTGAAGCAGGTCCCTGGCTCGTTCTCACCCAGTGCCTCTTAGGGATGCTTGTTAACTAATCATTAGCCTCACATCTCCTCTACTTGTAGGGTTCTAGATCATTCGTGACCCATCCACTTGGCTCTTTTTCATACTACTCAACCACTCCTTCCCCTAGTCATTCACTGACTCCCACCAAAGTAGATGACTATATAAAGAAGTGCTTTGTTTGACAAAATGGTAAGGCCTAGAGGGCAGGGTAAATAAGAATTGGGAGTCTGTATAGATGTCCCAGGCCCATATAACTATCAGTATTTCTTGGAACAGGTGATATTAAAAAAATAAATTTAAAAAAACAACTTTCTCCTAAAACAGTATCTTAGACCCTTGGGTTCACATCCTGGGAAATAGATGAGCAGGCGGCAGTATTTTCCAGAGCCCATTATCAAGAATAATTCTTTGTGGGCAGCTGAGACTGCAGCTCTGGGAAGCCTACTGCCAGGTCCGCTATCTCTGCTCACACCTTCGAGGAAACGACAGTGCTGACTCGGCCGTCTCCACGGACTCCTCAATGGACGAGTCTTCAGAAACCTCGTCTGCCAAGGATGTGCCAGCCGGCAGCCTGCGCACTGCCCTCAGCGAGCTCAAGAGGCTGATACAGAGCATCGTGGATGGCGTGGAGCCCACGGTAAGAAGCCAGGCTGAGAAGCTCCTTGCCCCGCAGGACCTGGCTGGTGGGAGCTGGCAACCAAGCACAGAGAGGGAGGCTAACCCTGGAACTGGAGAGTTTCTAAAACCTGCAAGACTTCCTTCTGTGCCCATATTATTTGAGAGCATTGTGTGCCAGGGAACAGGAGGCATCTCCCTGCAGACACCAGGGTACAAACAGAGTCCTTTCTCCAGGTAGTATGTATGGGCCATGGTGGTCTCAAGGTTAAGGGCTTTTCTTGGAAGTTTTAGATATAGACCTTTGGATCCAAGCAAAAACTGCACGTTAGATTTCTACGGACCTTTGGTCCTACTGGTGGGTTTGGCTATGAACAGGCACACTTAAAGAGATCGGAAGCTTCTGCTAAAAATATGTAAGTGAGCACAGAGAGTTGAGGAGATCGACAAGAAGGGCCTTCTAGAATTCCAGATGTGGCTCCTCCCGTGGAGGGGAGGAACGTTCCCGTGGGCTCCTGGCAGACTGGCATTTCTTTTGGCTTCATGACAGCTTTCCGCCAGCCTCACTCTCCATTCACATTCCTGCTCTCAGGCTCTTGTTTTCTCCTCAGGTTTCACCCTCCTACAGAACAGTTGTGTCTTTCTACCCACACTAGCTGAAGGAAGATGAAACGGTGGCTGTCCTTATCTGAACATGCCCTGTCGAGCTGTGGAGTGTGTTGCAACTGGGAGGCGGGTCATTGTGGGGAAAGGGAGCTGATCTGTTCACGCCCTACAATTTCCCTTCCCTGAAGCCTGAAACAAAAACAAAAAAAAGTAAAAGTCTTGCTGCTGCTTGCAGATTGAAATTTTTCTCTCCTCTAACCCTTTCTTTCTCTCCTCCCTATCTCCTGCCATCTTGTCCTCCCCTGAACTGAACCATCTCCGCCCCGCCCCCCGTTGCCCCCCTCCACCCTCACCAACTCTGCCCTCTGTCCTCCCCCTCTCTCCCGCGGACCATCTCTCCCTTCGCCTCCACCCTTACCGCCCCCCTGGTTGGCTGGCTCGCCCTCTTGTGCTGTCAGAGCTCCCGGAGAATTGACGATGACTCCTTAGAAGAACAGATAAGGCAGACCAGTGAGGATTCAAGAGCCCTAAGGGAGCTGATGGAGGGGGAGAGGGGTAAATTGAGGCAAAGCCTAGAAGAGCTGCAGCGACTCCACAGTCAGGTGAGCACCCCGGTCCTCAGTCCGGTGCAGGGAGTGTGCATGTCTCCCTGGGCTCTCTGAGGACCCTTGTGAGTTTGACTCCCCCACGTCTATTTGAGAAGAGGGGACAGTGACCTGAAGTTGAGGTGACCTGGGTGTTCAACAGAAGCAGCCAATCCCCTTGTTTAGCCCAAAGTAATGATCAGGGATAAGAAGAGCTGACTCTCCATTTCCTCCAGCAACACGCTGCCCTCTACAGAGCCCGAATAACCTGGTGGATTCTGGCCGTTCAAAGTGCCACTGTTTCGGGACACTCAGGGATGTTTTCCCAGCAGCATTTGAGCAGGGAAGCCTGCAAACCAAGGCTCGCTCTTCGCAGGCCTCCTCTCTTTGTAAATGCTGTCACCTCTGCCAGCCTGTTTTTCAGCTTTAGAAGCACTACTGCTGCTCTTGCTGTTTCTTCCCTGTTTGATCATGATTTCATCTCTCTTGAGAACGCTGGAGAAAGGACATCTATATTTTGATCTGAAAAGTTTTTAAGAGCTTAGGAGCCAGCCCCGCCCAGAAAGGAGTTTCTGAAATGGACCCTAGGAGATCAATACAGGCTCTCCCTTTTGACAGGGTCATGCGTCGAGGCTCTGTCCCACTTGGGACATCAAACAGGCAGTACATTACACCCTGCCCAATATACTCTGGCTTCTCTTAGGATGTATAAATCTTTTGCCTTTTACCAAACCCTGCCCCCTTCTTCTCTTGTTCAAAGCTAGTCACCCCTCTCTGCTCCGCCGGACGGAGGAGAAACGCAATTTAAGCCTGGCTTTCGCGTCAGTCAGTATTTCTTTAAGGGTCATATGGAAATAAACTGTCTTTTGGGGGGTTGGGCCTGTTAGGCCTCCTGGTAGTATTCTCTTGGAAGGTACTGGGAGTCCCGCCCACAGCCTTTGCTGCACTCACGGTGAGTGCCCAGATGACAAGGACAGAGGGGAGCTACTGAAAGCTGTAGCTTGTCCCCAGGCAAGCATGGCGAGTGGGCTTTGGCAGCCAAAGACATTCTCATGCCTGCAACCCAAAGCCCTCGGGTGGTCATTTGGCCAGAAAGTGGTTCAGACTTAGGGGCAGATCTTTGAAACTGGAAGAATAAAATCAAGAGAACATGGATCTGCAAGTTCTTCAGGTTAATAGAAGCTCAATTTATTTTAAAGCCTATTTAAATTTCTGTGGGGTGCTTCTTACCTGCTGTCTGATGTTGGCTGGTGGTCTGTTTTGCTTTGTTTTGTCGCCTCTTGGAATTACGCAACTGGAAACGCCAGAGGGCATTATTTCACTTGGAAGCAGGAGTGCGGTGGCAGCTGCTCTGGTCCCCTCTGCTCTCCATCCTCACAGCTCTCCAGGCTCCTGCTGAACCCTGGTGCAGACTAAGCGTGGGGCCTGGAGCAGCTTCCCAGAAGCCGGGCAGGCCTTCAGAGATGTGAACACCAGTTACCTGTGGGGCCTCTGGACCGAGTCCCAGGCCGGGAAGCCAGCCTGTGGGAGGCGCACTGGGAAACACAGTCCCAGTCTAGTCGTTCCGCTACCTTAGGCTGGACCAGAGTGCACGCCGGTTACTCCAGAAGGGCCAGGGACACACACGGAACATGGGCTGGGAGCAATCAAGGCTCCGCTAGTGAAGTTTTGGCTGCCCTCCTCTGTAAAGGCTCAGTGTATTCTCTCTCCTCCGTCCTCCCAGCAGCTGCCCTATTCAAACCTTCATTCCCTCACACCCTGCCTTTTGCCATCGCTTCCCCTCGCCCACTCACCCTCCACAGGGTTTGGGTCGGTCTTCCTGAAGCTCGACTTGAAAACGAGAACCCTGCGCAGGTCTGGGGTGATGTGCCACCACCGAGTAATGGGAAGCCTCCAGCCAGGGGCCCCGGCCGCTGGCCTTCTGTCCTGTTGTTTTCACTTCGCTTCTTTGCTTCAGCGGAACTGAACAGCGCACACAGTTCCCATTCCCCACGGCTGGGCCTTTCCTCCGGCTTTTTCCACCCGGAGGGCTCTCCTGTCACTTGCACGTACCTCGGCCTTCCTCATCTTCACGTTCCCGGTCGGGTTTCACTTCCTCCTTGAAACTGTTGATTCCCTTCCTCCTGGAGCCACCCTGGCCCTGCTTCGTCTAGGCTGCCCCGGCTCACGTCTTGTCTTCCCAGTCAAACCTCAGGCCCTGGTGCAGACTAACTCACCGTCTGGTGTCTCTTTGCCTTCTCCTAAAGCATCTAGAATAGTGCCTTGCCCTCCCGTAGGCACTCAAATCATTGTAAAGCAAAAGGGCAAATAAAGCCCTAGATAGAGAACTTTGAGATGAGATGTTTTCTTTGATGAAATTCAATCACAAGGACACCTGCCTTATTTGGGAAAAGAGGATTTGGGGGTGGCTGTAGCCTGTCCTTATAGCCTCACAATGGCAGTCAGCAGGTAGGCCCCCTGTTGGGGGGGGGGGTGGAGCTCACAACCAAGTGCACTGGGCTCTGGATGTTATTTATCTTATTTGAGCCTCACAACAACTTGATGGTGGGAAATAGCTACTTTTATTCCTGCTTTTTATGAAAAGTATGTATAACTCCAAGAGGGTAGGTCCCTTGTCACATTTACATCACTGGTTGGCTCTATCTTGACCAGCCAGGTTTCCCAGGTCAAAGCAAAAAGTTTTTGCCTGGAGCTTTATCTGGAGCATACTAAATGTTAGCATTTCCTGCCTAACGTACTTTTATCTGCTGCTTACTCAGCTGACACAACACCTGGCTGGCCCACGGCTGGCCCAGGGTCATGTCAGCGCTCACTTGTTCTTCAGAGGCCTGGCTGCCTCTGCCAGGTGCTTTCTGGGTCTTGAGTTCTGTGCTGCCAAGCTGCAGAACGTGCTAACAAACAGGGCGAGGCTGGGCGTCTCGCCTGCTGCCTCGTCTGGCTCCTGGTTAGCCGCATGTGCGTGTCACGGCGTCGCAGGCGCCCAGCCTGTTCTCCTGCAAGGCTGCTTGCCCCGCTCATCAGAGCTGCCCCCACCTCAACAGCACCGAGCACTGAGTCCCAGGGTTCTGACGTTCCCTACCAGGCACCTCCAAGTACAAAATCCATTGCCCGTAGTGACAACAGGTTGTCCTCTGTCTCTCCTTGTCGTTGGGTGTCCTCTGATGTCCTCCCCCGTGGGTGCATCCCCAGGAGCTGGCCACTCTGCCATCTCAGTCTGGGGAGCTCGAAGCATCTACAGGAGAATGTGACCTTCAGCCTTGGCCCTGGGGCTTTTGCTTGGTTTTACTCTGCCCAGGATGATCGGGCCTGGGGCTTGAAGGGCAGAGGAGCGCACCGAAAGGTGGCATCTCCCCCCAAGTGGGAGGGACCGACCCGAGGGTGGGTCCTCCCTCGGAAAAATGTCAAAAGCATGTGTCATGCTCAACAAGAAGGCAGGGTCCAGTGTCTTGACCCGTCTGAGCCTATCAGCTGTGAGAAGAAGGGGCTCCCAGTCTTCCAGTTATTCAACAGCTGTCCATTGACAGCTCTACCAGTCAGGGTTTCTGGTTGCAGACAGCAGAGACTTACTCAGCTTAACTTATGCAGAAGAATGTATTGGAATTAAATGACAGTTTACAGAATTAACAGGAAGGTTGGAGAACTGAACCTCGAAAGAGGAAGGTGCATGGGAAGGAGGGCGGCATCTCCTGCCTGCATGATGGTTTCTCAGAGGCCTGTGGCTTTGCTGGGCCCTCACGAGCTGCAGTCCCAAGTAGGCAGCTGTGCAGGCAAGTCTAGGATTCTGACCCAGATGCCTTGGAAACAATAAGTTTCTCCCTTTTGGACTCCCTTACGGGGGGAGGGCATGTCCTGTCTCCCACCAAGACTCGGAACCAGGAGTGCCCTGAGAATAGGAAGGGATTTGGGGTGATGACTAGCCAAAAAAATCACCACTGCCTGCTCACTGCACAAGCATTTTGTACTGAGCATTATACAGATCACAGAGCTCAAGGTGTGCAGGGGTTACCATACAGGGAGTGGGTAAGCCGTGGCCACCAAGGGAGCCTCACCACCAGAGGACGGGCTCTGCTGCCATCCTCTGAGGCATGGAGCACACAGAAGGTGACAGGTTTGAAGTGAAAGGGGGTAATGTCAGGTGTCTGAATCACATGCGGCTTTGACCTGGGGAATAGAATGAAGGCAGGGGAGCCAGGCTGTGTCAGGGCTGTCACAAACGGGAACCAGGTCTCAGGCTTTAATCATCCAGGGCCCTGTGCATAACAGTGCTCCTTACTGGAAACAAAACTTGAGTTTCTACCCCCAAAACTGTCTCAGAGCCCTGATGCGTGCGTAGTCTGTGCTCACTAGTTCCCTGCCATTGCCTTGAAATGAAGGAGGTGGTGTGGTAGGCTGTGTGCAAAGAGGGTGTGGCCCCATGGCTGCCGTGGCGCCCTTTCCCCAGGAGAAATGGGCCTCCCTAGGCGTGAAGGGCAGCGGGAAGCTACCGGCCTGCGTGGCACACAGGCCCCGCGCATGCCTGGGGCTTTTCGCCCCTTTCTCCCTCTTGGAGGGAATAGCCCAGGCCAGTAGCAATGGTACCATCACATTTATCTCTTTGGACTCCCTTTAGGTGACACTGCTGAGTGTGGAGATGACTGCACTGAAGGAGGAGAGAGACCGACTCAGAGTGACATCTGAGGACAAGGAACCGAAGGAGCAGCTTCAGAAGGCCATCAGGGACCGGGATGAGGCCATTGCAAAGTGAGTGAGCATGACTACTTTTGTTTTCCTTTAATTACAAGTAACATGAGTGTATGGTCAACTTTAAAAGTTAAGTCATACAGAAGAATATAAAAGTAAACCTGAGTTTCCCTGCAACCCGCCCTCACCGCCAATCCCATTCTCTCCAGACACATTGTTGAAAGATGGGTGTGCATTTTTCGCGGACCTTTTTCCTGTGCATATGCAAGTGTATATGGAACGTTGTTGTCATGGGTGCTTTTTTTTAAAGATTTTATTTATTTTTAGAGAGAAGGGAAAAGAGGAAGGAAGAGAGGGAGAGAAACAGCAATTGGTTGCCTCTCTCATGCCCCGAGCTGGGGGACCTGGCCCGCAACCCAGGCATGTGCCCTGACTGGGAATTGAACTGGCGACGTTTCAGTTCTCAGGCTGGCATTCAGTCCACTGAGCCATACCAGCCAGGGCATCGTCCGCTTTTTAAAAGCATCAATGGATGATGTTCTACATGTCTTGTTTTTTTCCCTACCTACATCTTAGAGAACCTTCTGATTTCATTATATATCTCTACCTCGACTTTTTTATTTTAGGGTTTTTTGTTTGTTTGTTTTATGGACATTCTCAAGCATACACAAAAGTAGAAAAAAAAAAAGGCTGGATCCCTGCTTACCCATCTCAGCTTCAACACTAATCAGCATATGGCTGGTGTTTTACATCTCTATCCTCGCCGGCTTTCTCCACCTCCCCACTGGATGGTGCTAAAGAAAATCACAATTCATCCTTTCCACTGATCTGTAAACACTCCAGCATGGCCCTCTGCCAGAAAAAGACACTTTCTGTAAAACACTCAACCACAATACAGTTATCACACCTGAAAAAACTTGCAATTTCTGACATCATCGAGTATCAAGGGTTCAGATTTCCCGTTATCTCATAAGTGTCCTTTTACCAGTGTTTAGACTCAGACTCCAAAGTCCCCATATTCCATTCACTTGTATGTCCCCATAGTCTGTCACACCCCACCCCCACCCACTTTCTTTTTATATTGTATATGTATTGAAGAAGCTGGATTTTTAGTTTCAGAGTTTTTCTGCGTTCTGAGCCTCATTGCATCACCACGGTGTCATTTAACATTTTTCTCTGTCCCCTGTATTTTTAGTAAACTCGGTAATTTTTTAGTGTTTTGGGTTTTCTTTGGCAAAGAAGAAATGCATAAATGCATTCTCTTATATTAAAAAATGCGCAGTACATAAGCAGAAAATATATTTACAGATTCCCCCATAAGAATTTACATAAATTCTTTCTTTATCATGCACTCAGTCAGTCTACCCTGTTCAGTGAGTGTGAGACGATCAAAACTACTTAAAATGTATCTGCTTTTGAGGTGCTTTACAACACATTAATAACATTTGTGCATCACTTTACTGTTGACAAGACACTTTCATCCTCCAATCTGCGCGGCCACAGCAAGAGGTAAAAATTTCTGACCCCCGTTTTACACGCGAGGAGACATCGTTTCCCCAGGGTCACGGCCAGTGGTGATCTCGGACTCCTGTCCCCACTCCCCTCCCTTTACCACGTGGCTGCTTGTCAGGCAGCTAAAAGGAGGTCATTTGAAACTATTTTCCATGAGACACTGTCTGCCTTTTTCATAAATGGGACACGTTTTTATCTCTGACTTTGAGGCCCCCACACCTTTCCCCCTCCCACCTCCACGAACGCACTTGTCACCGCCCTCCTGTTTTCCGTGGTCACTTTCATCATCTCTGTTTCTTAGTTTTACCCTTGGGTCCCTTTTTCTATCTAGTCAGAACCCCGCATCAGGTTGTTGGTTTCTAGTTTATTTAGGAATTTCATACTCAGTAAGGCTCACAAACCTATGTGTTGCCGAATGAACTCAAAAAGAGTGTGGAGGCTTTGGCTAAAAATAAATGATATTCAAGGGTTTAAGAGCTGGCATTGGGAACACAGCCAGGCAAATGCCCAGAGGTGTTCCAAAGAAGAAAGGAAAGTTAGAGCTCTTCGAGTCCTGCATTCTTAGCCCCAGGATTGGTCCAGGACAGCAGGACAGTTCTCGGTCAGATGGCAGGTGACCTGGATGTTGAATGCCAGGTTGTCTAGGAGGTCTGGTCGCATCTTGTGGTCGCCTAATGGATGTCAGGTGGTCTGGGTACTGAGTCCTTCAGGGAGAAAAATCAGAGGGTTATCTGGGATGTACAGGGTGGGGCAAAAGTAGGTTTATAGTTGTTCATATGGAAAATAATAATCCAAGAAAACACTCTGTTTTGTGTGCTCACAACTATAAACCTACTTTTGCCCCACCCTGTATATCCAGGCATTGACAGGGGACTGGAAAGTTTTAGAAGTTTCTGTCCCCAGGCTAGTAAAACAAGAATAGAGTCTTTCTGCATGCCTGGACCTTCATAATGTTAATAATTTTAGCAGCTTGATTAAAGTGACTCCATTCTACATGTGCTCCATCTTCACACTTCTCAGTAGCTGCCTGGTAGATTTAATTACTGAATACTTGAAGGGCAGCGTGATAATTTGGAGTGAGAGCAGACTTTTATGAATAACAAAGGGTGAAATTGTGTCATGCAAGTAGGGAATTAAATGGTAAAATTAAGGTGCTACTTGTGGAGCCCCATTGGGAATAAAAAGCAGAATGAAGTTAGTAGGAACTGGTTGGGCACCTTTTCTCAGCTAGACAAGCAGAAGAGCTGAACAGCAAGCTCTGACCATGTTCTGTCCTCAGCATGGGAGGTAGGAGATACTGCGCAACCAGAGAAAGTGCCAGACTGCAGGAGAGAGGAAGCAGCGAGTTGAGAAGTCCCTCTCCCTTAAGTAAGTGGGACCTAGCTGGGACACCTGGGTGACAGAGGAGACCACCAAATCTCCATGAAACCTTGACATACCTGTCCCCCCTTGCCGGCTGACAGAGGAGGCCTGGGTAACCTGGAGTCTGGGCTGATTTACAGGTTTTCCTCCCTGAGTAGGGAGAGCTCTACAGTGAGGCCCTGGGCCCCTTTGGACCCTGTAGAACAGGGCTGCCCCCCGGCGGGGGCGGGGGGCACGCGGGGTGGGGGGCGGCAGGGGGCGGGGATCAGAGCACCCCAGGAGAACAGTTCTTTTTCTATGCCAGGAAATGAAATTCTTATACAAGAACTGAAACAGCAAACTTAAGGATCATTTAAATTTGTGGGGGAGCCAGACCACATTTGTATAAGCCCTTAATAGCTTTCACAAGGTGCTTTCGTATACATCATCTTTGCTTCTCCATCCCGGCTGCACGTGAGAAACGCCTGCGGAACTCCCCAGGGGCCAGGGCCCTCTCCGGCAGGTTTCGTCTGAATCTCTGGGTTTAGGTCTGCTTCCTCCCAGCATCCCCCTGGTGCACCCTGTGATTCTAATGTGTAGTCCGGGGTCACAACTCCCAGGAAAAACAACTTCCCGCTCCCTACCGGGCTGCTGGAATCTTGGGGTATTCCTTACCTATGCAATAGGTGAGTTTCAGAAAAGGTAAGGAACAGTTCTTACCTCCTTGCAGGTGAAAGGCCCTCACTGCCACAAAAACCTGGGGCTAGCAATCTGCCTTATGAAACCAAAAAGGAGTCGGTTACTCGTGTTTTCATTTCATAAGGAATTCTTCTAGCCTCTTGAAATACTCCTTTTTAAAACTGCGGTTTAATACATTGATTAGAGGTTTCTGCAGCTTTACACTGGCGTTTCTCATTAATGACACTCACCAGGATTCCCTGGTGAGCAAATGTTCCCGTGCAGGCGGCCGAGGCTGGACTGTGGGGGAGGGCGCGGCAGATCCTGCTTCGGGCGCTTTCTGGAAAAAGACCCCCTCCGCCAGGAGCCGCTGCTGCCCTCCGCCCCAGCAGCATTAGTCAGCACATTCCGGGATCTCCGGGTTGCTCCTGGCGCCACCTGCCGGGAGCTCGGGTGGCTGCAGAGGGCGGGGCGCCCGGGGTTCGCTCCGGCAGGCTGGGCGTCCCTGGCAACCGGCTCCTTGCGAGGATTTCCGCTGTCTGCCACTGGCCAATGGCAGCGGGCGTGACGTGGCGGCCTGCGGCTTTCTGCCGCCGCGCTCATTGGACAGGGTCAGTGGAGTCCCTGCAGCCGCAGTGCGGTGCCGGTCCCGGTCCCGCCCGGCGATCCAGCATTGCGGGCTGGGCTTTCCAGAGCGGCTTCTCCAGGAGGGCCTGGCGGGGCGCCGTTCTGGAGTGGCGGAGTGTCAGGGGAGGTGGCTAATTGCTCAGTGGCCGGGAAGCTAGTGAGGACGTGCTGGTCACGGTGGTGGCCTGAAGTGGCTTTACCCCAGCTGCCCCCGCTTTGGGCAGCGCTAAGCGTGATGCTTGTTGGCGTTCTTTACTCTCAGGCTGTAGCTGGGCGGCCTCTGCACGTGGGTCCTCTAGCTGCCCTTGGGCGTCCACATTGGTCTTTGGCCCTGTGCAACGAGGACACTTTCGCTAGTTTCTGTCGTGTCGAATGCAAAAAACAACAGTTGACGAGGACAAGGACTAAATAACGCTCATTTTGGCAGTGAGACAACCAGCGCCCCCTCTGCAGAGGCTGCGCAGTTTCCTGCACTTTTTATTCCTATTCCCATTCCCGCACCCGCCCCCCAACCAAAAATTAATATTCTTTTGCATTGAACTATGATGTGGCCGTGTTAGGAAGTTTTCCCAAATAATGTGTGAAACATTTCAAAATGTGAAAGTACAAAATGCTTAAGTGGGTGGGAGCTGTTACCCATTAATGATCATCATCTGGAGGTAATCGAGTACACATCTTTTTCTATGACCTTCAAATACACACAGGCCGTTTTTCTTCAACAGAGCAAGTATATCAGAACTTACTGTTTTGTGTGCTTTCTTCCGCCAGGCCCAAATACCTTGTAACTTAACTACCAGTCCCCTAATTGTTGGCTACAATGGTTAGCTAAGCTGTGACGACCTCTGCTTTGTGGCCACCTTTGCGTACGCGGGTACCTCTTTGGACCCCTTAAGGGGGTATTGCTAGTGAAAAGGAGGGGACAAGGGGGACAAGTTCCCCACCTTCCACATGGATTATCCTTTCGGGGGAAGGATCAGCAGCTCCCTAGTGCTGTGCGGGGGTCCTCTGATCTCCTCTGGGTTGCGGTCCTGATTGAAGTGTCATCTTCTTAACCACTTCATCTGTGAGATGGGGATGCCACATACCCCCTTCACTTTTAGGTTGGCTGGGAAAATTGAGAAAATGTCTGAAAACATGTTGGAAACTTTCCAGCCTTCTGCAAGTAACTTCATAGTTTACCATCACTGTTGGTCGTGAGTTAGGGTCAGAGCCTCTTTCCTCGCCTTGTGGACTTACCTGGTGCCCCAGATAAGAACCAGCTGCTTCTGGCACAAAACGCCCATGCTCTCCCTTGCTTGTCTGTTTTCAGGAAAAACGCTGTGGAGCTGGAACTCGCCAAGTGCAAGATGGACATGATGTCTCTGAACAGCCAGCTGCTGGACGCCATCCAGCAGAAGCTGAACCTCTCACAGCAGCTTGAGGCTTGGCAGGTAAGGGAAGGGAAGACGAGGCTCCAGGGAGAGTCTGCGGGCACAGGCGGAGTGGAATAAGGAGTTGGTTTTACCGGAGGGTCCGATGTGCATGGGTGAACAGTAACCCCCGTCTTCACCTGCTGAAATTCAGGGCTCCTGCTCCTCCAGTTCTGGGGGAAGGATGCCTGAAGGTACTCTCAGTGCAGTGAACCCCAGGTTGTGCTGTTTGGGACAGGGGCCTCCTTCAGCTGATCATCGCAGCTTTATTTAAAATCGCTAGAAAGAGACAGCTGTTAACTTGGAGGACCCAGGAAGTCCTGTAAGACTGAATGAACATTCACAGGGGGATGTAGTTCAGCAACCGTCCAGGTGCTGGCAGCTGCTGCCCTTCCTTCTTGAAGGCCAGCTTCCTTTTCTGGAGAACACTGGCCTGGGGCAGGCCGGGGGGACGTGAGTCAGTGTCCCTCCAGGACCTGTGTTTTCAGCGTCCAGGCAGCCTACCCCATTTCGGGTCTAACGGGGCCCTTGACTGGACCATGGCTGTACTTGCCTTTTGTTAATGAGGTTAGGGTAGTACAGTTTCAGGATATGGGTGTAATCGTTCACGTTGCTCCCCAAGAAACCCTAAGCAGGCAGATGAAAAGCCACCTCCGGCTCTACCAGGCAAGCCCCGCTGTGGAGGGCAGGTTATGGGCGACGCTCCTCTGACCCTCCCCCAACAGCCAGCCCCCAGAGCTGGTCCCTGGCTTCCAGGCCTGCCGTTCCTGCTTACCGTCCTGTTCTTTTCTCTTCTCTCCTGGCTACAGTTTGCTTCCTCAGGGCTTTTTACTATCTGGCTCCTTTGGTTTCTGATCTAATGGCCTTTCTCAGTTCCTGTATCAACAGCTTTAGTTGTACACGCCTCCTGCCTTTGAGGTGAGATTGAGCCCTCATCCCACCCATACCCGCCCTGCTGCCATCCAGGTCCCGTCCCCGCCATCTCTCTTGTGGCCCACTGTGTTCTTTGTGCTGGATCGTGGCGTCATCTCTGTGCGGTGTTCCCCGCCATCAAGTCCTGGCCTCCCTCCTCCCATCACCGTCACGCCCGGTGAGCACGGCGGCACACGGCCCAGTACCGTCAGGCTGGCCCCTTCTGACCGGTTGACTCCTGGTTCTTGGTATCACCTCCTCATAAATGGGTTGCTTTGGCCACAGACGTGACAGCAGGCATGGAATTAGGACCAGCTCATGGATGTGTGTGTATGGTGTTCTAAAGTGGTATGTGCCATAGGATCGCCTTGACAAATTCTGAAGTATCAAAAAATGCAGTTTGCCATGTGCCAGAATAAACACTGGCAGCTCTGAGTTTCTTTCCGAAGGATGGTCTAAAATTCCCAATGTTGCATTTAACAACATAGATTGTATTAAGTGCATCCTAAGTACAGGGCACTTTGTTGAGGAATTGAGAATCACTGGGCCGCTACAGGTAGCGAGGATGTGCCCTCTTTCTGTGAGTAGGGCTGAAGGAAGGACAGTGAGTGTGGAGAAAGATGGGGGGATCGGAAGAGAGGAAGGCAGGAGAGCAGGACACGAGCAGAGGAGGAAACAAGACGTTCATACCTGCTGCTACCTGGTGATGTGGCCAAGAAAGTCTGTTTCACACTGAAACCTGCAGACATTCACTTGACACCCACTGGTGAGAGCTTGGATGGGAGAGTAGGAGGTGATGGGCAAGCTGCTGAGGGAGACGGGCCAGCCCACCCCACTTCCTGCCCTCAGGAGCAGCTGGCCCACTGCAGGGTGTAGCCCGGGGTGCAGTCTTTTCACCAGGACCTCCCAGAGCCCGCAGAGTTCAAGGGTGGAGTCAGGCAGATGCTTGGTATGTTCCCTGCTGATGTGCACTAGACGGGGCTTGCTGATTTATATTCCTAAACAGGCAGTCTTCACACAGCATGAGTGGCAGGATGTCTTTGTCAAACGGAGCCTTGCACAGAATCAAAATCTAGCAACTAGAACAGAGTGCAGCTGCTCTGTCCAGAAGTTCCTCTGTGGAGTCGATGAGGGGGGCATTTTCTAGGCAACTTTAACAAATTGGAAGGGAAAGGTGCCACCCTAATGGGGAGGCTAAGGAAACGGGCCTAAGTTGAAGCAAGACAAGCCCTGAGGTGATGCCCAGGTCTCTGCCACAGGTGGGAGCCTCACAAGCAGGGGGTGAGTGTGTGTGGTTGTTCTTCTCACATGTCGCTGCCCACGGTGCTTGGGGGTCAGCAGCTCAGGCCGGTGGTAATTCGCGAGGCTGAGGGCTGGTGCGGCGCGGGCAGGCAGAGTGGAGAGACAGACGAGGCACTAGCTGCAGCCTGTCTGGGCCTAGAGGGACAGCCGTCCGTGGGGTCAGCTGAGGGGTAACACTGTTGACAAGAGGCGAGCCCAAGTCCTGAGGTGTGAGGTGTCACGTGGCTTCCGTGTCCCGGCATCTGCACTTGCTTCTTTCTTGGTTGGGACAGCCCTGGCTGCAGCCACTCACTCATCTCACCCCTCATCCTCATCTCCTGTCCTTCCGTCCTTCAGACATTTGTCACCTCCCTGACCAGTGTCAGGACACTGCGCTGCTCAGCCCCCTCTGTTGTGCTCTCTGCAGGATGACATGCACAGGGTCATTGACCGGCAGCTGATGGACACGCACCTGAAGGAACGGAGCCGGCCTGCGGCTGCCCCCTCCAGGGCCCATGGCACGGGCCACGGGGACGAGCCCGGCACCACTGAAGGCAAACGGCTCTTCTCATTCTTCAGGAAAATCTAAACTGGGAGGAGTCAGGCCAGCGAGGATGGGTGGACTGGAGGCAACTGAAAGCGGGGCGGGTGTTTGCATGCACGGGCCTCCCCCCGACCAGGCTCGGGGGCCGCACTGCTGGCCCGCACAGGGGCCGAGTCGTCTGAGAGGGCCCTGCTTGGCCTCTGAAGGCTGTCCTTGATAGAGGGACAGGCAGGAGCCCTGTGCCCTGCCCAGCCAAGCCCAGCCCGGGCCTCCCGAGGATCCGCTGTTGTGGAGCAGGGCTCAGGCTGCCTCCAGAGCACCAGCCCCGCCCGTCCCTCGGTGGCTCCCGGGCCCCGCCCCTGGCCCTGCTGCCCTCCTCTTGTGGCATGTGGGGGACAGGAGAAACAGGCCCTCTCCGCATGCCTCAGGGCGCCCTTGCTGCTGCCGCTGGCCCGAGCCCCCAGCCCTCCCCATCCCCTGGCCCAGGGAGGAAGGGGAGGCAGCCCCTCACCCATGTGCATGCACCTCTGCCAGGAGCACTTGGTGGGCAGGAGACCCAGCCTGTGGAGCCTGATGGCCAGGGGGCTCTTCTCTTGCTCTCAGCCACGGTCGGCTCTGTCACGGGCTTGGCTGAGGCCGTCTGAGCCCAGACGGAAGAGGGCCTGCCCCCGGCACCACTGCCCTCCTTCCCCGGCCTCCGCCGGTGCAGGCCTCCCCTCAGCGGGCGGGCCGGCCAGTCTTCCGCCAGGCCCTGGGCGGGCTTCAGCCGTCCCGTCCTTTCCCCTTTGTGGGGCCGGGACTGGGAAGCGCCCCGCTCCCCTCACATAATCCACTTCTCGGGTCAGCCAGGCAAGGCCAGGCCCCAGAATGGCCCCAGAGGGGCCTGCAGTCATCCACTCTGCCTCAAGGGCAGCGCCGTCACCACGGGGTGGACGCCTCCAGATACTGCCCCCTCGGCCTGCAGAAGGACGACCCCTGCCACCTGCTGCTCCTGCTCCTTCGGCAGCCACTGCTCCTCCTCTGCTGAGGCCTCACTCAAGGCTCCCAGGCCGAGCAGCCCACAGGCTGCTTCGCAAAGGATCGTCTCCCTCCCTCACCTGGGAAAAGCACAGCAGGGATGAGCGGAAAGAATGTACCTATAGATATGTACATACCACAGTGCTGTACTTTTGTATGTAGCAATCATGTAAATACATGTATGGATTTTATAATATACATATTATATATACAAATCTATAAAGGCATATTTTTAGAAAAACAGCGCACCACTGCTTCTTTTGAAAATAGTCTAAGAATAAATTGAATTTCTACAGAGCTTCCCGCCTCAGTCATTGGGTGCCTGGAGGGGCGGTTTGGTCAGAACGCAGCTTACCTTTCAGAACCACCATTGGCTTGCATGAAGACGCAGAAGTAGTGAGTCCCCCACACACCTGGGAAGTCACCTCATACACAGGGACCCAACCAGTGGGTTCAGCCAGGAAGGGGCACCTCCCCTGGAGGGCGGAGGCATCCCCTGACAGCTGTTTTGGGAGCGGTGGCCGAAGGCACCGCCTCCATGCCCACCCTGGCCTGGGCTCCCTGCCAGTGAGAGCTGCAGTTGCCCAGCCACGGACAGGCCCTCCAGCCTGGCAGACACTTCAAGCCAGAAATGGCTGCGGGCAAAGCTTCCACTGCATCCTTCCGGGCATGCAGAGAATAAACGGGGCACTTCCCCTGGCATCTCACTACACGTGCTCCCAGCCAGCGCGTCAAACCAGAGGAGACGCTCAACCTGGACCCACCTGCCATGGAAAAAATGAACTTGGCTCCTCAAAGTGTCCCTGTGCCTAGACCAAAACAAAGGAGCTGGACGTAATGGGTGGAAGAAGCCAAGCCCACCCAGAGCACAGCTGGAGAGGAAACAGAGACCCTGGAAGAAAATTTGGCAGCTTGAACCTTTATTTTTAGTACTTTTTTAAAAAAGCATAATTAGAAACTTTCAATACAGAAATAATCCTAGCAAACCATTAAAAGTTTTGTTGTTCGACAGGATTTCGCATCAGGTCCACCAGGACATCGGTCCAGCCCTGTGAGCCCCCCTCCCCCACCCCCCCATTCATGCGTACTAACACTCAGCGGGACAGGCACACTGTCGTCACCAAAATCGCCCCACTCCTGGGTCTGGACATCCAGTTGCCAGAAGCCCAGAGGGTTTCTAGCCTGGACTGGAAACTCCCAGGACCTCCTCCTCTTATTGCTTGAGTTTGCAAGCACTGCCTCACTGGCGTAACCTTAATGCTCAGAGCGGAGTGTGCTGCCCACCCCAGGACCGATGATTAGCCAGGGCAGCCTGAGGATGGAGACCATGCTTTTGCTCCTGGCCCCGCAACCGGACGAGGCTGCCTGCCGGTTGGCCCTGCAGCCACCTTCCCTCCATAGCACCACCTTCCCGGGCCCACAGAACTCCCCCCACCTCATCCTGCGGCTCCAGAGTGAAGGCCTGTCACATGGAACCCCCCTGTTTTGGCAGTTTGGGGAAGTGGAGAAACAGGACAAAAGGAAACCCCCAGTTTTGATTAAAAACCCCTCAACAGCGTTCACGAGGCAAATCTGCAGTATGATCTGTGATGTGATTGTCCAGTCAGGGCTTCGCCTGGAAATTGCCTAGGAAAGGAAATCTAGTAAAACAGTATGGTGTTGAAATAAATTGTTCCCAGGTTACATGATCCTTTTAGGGGAAAGGTGAATGAAGTGTCCCAAAGAGGAGGGAAGGGGACAGTAATCAATTGCAGGTAACCCTGGTTTTTCCTCCGAGGGACCAGGGCAGGTCAAAGCGGCTGGCCTCCGGCCCCTCCCGCCATCCCTTGCCACCTGCTGAGGAACCCTCATGCTGCCTCCAGACTGAAACGACAGCCAGCGATCTGAAGCTGCCCACCGTCCGCTCAGAGGCGGCACACCCCCCCACCACCGACCCCTGGCGGCGCCCACTCCCCACATCGAAGACTCAGGACTAAGTGGAGGCCCTGGGCCGACACAGACAAGGGTGAGAGGCTCCTTCTCCTTTCCCACCAAGAAACGTCCCGGAAGGCAGAGCTGCTCTGCCAAGAGCCCGGCCCCACAATGACAGGAAACCATTCACTTTTTCTAAAAACACTGGACCCAAAAGGGAGGCCACAGCTTTTGCTGCTGTGCCAATCAAACCTCAGGAAGAGAAAAGCAGTGTGAGGAACTTAATTCATTTGATTTGGCTTCATTTTCTTTAGCCGTTAAAATAATGCTCCTAAGCCCCATCCCTGCATGAACACAGTCTTTCTGTTGGAACTGAAACAGGATGGTATAAATAGAAGCCACAGCTTCCCTGGGTTTGTAGCTTAGAGGCATCTAGAAGGCAGGACAAGAAATCTGTTGGCCAAAGGGCAGGAGTGACTCCTGCGGAACCTAACGGCTGGACCAGCTGAGGACAGGACCTCTACAGGGAACCCAAGCCTGCCTCAAGGCCAGGCCTCCCCAGCTGCCAGAATGGTTAGGGGTAGAGAATGGGAAGGGCAGGGAGCTGGGCTGGAAACACAGTCTAGACCCTGGAGATGGGCGAGACCCTCCGTGCCAGAGACAGAAGTCGACGACGGCCTGCAGGAGAGAACGGGTGACGTGGAGCCCACTCCGCCAGCCCAGGTTGGCAAAAGATGCGGGTAGAACGTAATCCTGTGTCCTCAGGAAGCTGCTGGCGATAAGGTGGGACGGGGAGAGAGGGTCTGTTGCAGCAGGCTGGCATTAGGGAGGCAAAGCCAGAACAGGACGAGGGTGAAACGGCTGGTTAAAGCAATATACATTATGTACAAAATGGTTAATCAGTCCGCTCACTGGCAGCGTCCTCGCTGGGCCCAGGCGCCTTGGCCGGGGTGGGGGCAGGGGCACCAGAAGGGAAGGGCAGGTTGTCCAACACCTTCTTGGTACTTGAGAGGAAGGGAAGGAAGTGCATATGGCGCCTCCAGATACAAAAACGTGGAGAGAATTCTTTAAATAACGGCACGAAACTGAGACTGTCCCCCGAGGAGCCCCGCGGGCCTCGGGCCAGGGAGTGGCCGCAGTGCAGTCTCTGCAGTGGGCTGGGTGAGGCATTAGCAGCAGCGTTTCTTTCGTTTACTATTCCTCGTGAGCTTTACCACGTCGTTCTGTTGTTGCTGCTGCTGTTTCGCTAAGTTGTCTTTCTTTGCTCGGAGGACCAGCTCTGTGATGCAGTTGAACATCTGTGAGGGCGAAGGAGGCAGGGCGACCTCAGGCCTAGTGGGCAGGCCCCGCCGCCGCTGCACCACCTCTGCTGGCCAGCATGGCTGCCGCCTGCCCCCAGGGCCTAGCTTTCTATTTCTGCGTGTGTATTTTTTGCTACGTATGCCCTCACCTCCTTTCTAGAAGGAGGTGGTGAAATATAATGGTCAATCTCAGGATTTTCCAGGCTGTCTTTTATGTACGTTCCCACCCCTTTCCTTCAGCTGGAATCTTCAGACGAGACAGATAAAGGTTCCCCTGCTCTGGTGACAGGCTAGAGGGGCCCAGAGCCTGCCCACTCCATGGCACCTCACTGCACATCCCGCCTACAACCTTCCCCAGACTCCAAGACATCCTTGCCATGCCAGAATCCACCTACCAACCCACATACCTATCCTCGGCTCCACCAGGAAAGCTATCATCGAGCACTTGGCAAAGTTTGTTTCACTGACTTTCCTCACAACCCAAGGAGCAGAGGCTCTCACCCCACCCAAGTTGAGCGAAGAAAACAAGGATTCTAAGTCGCTGCCCAAGGTAATGCGGGACCCCCACAGGTTTCCAAGTGGAAAGACCCACATTGCAATCCTAGCCTGACTGAGGCGCCCGGCGTCCAGCACGCAGAGAGGATCCAGCTTCCCTGGCCTGTGGGCTCCACACACCGAGGGCAGGACTCGCCCAGGGCCACGAGCGCAGCCAGCCTGGGCTTGCGGCAAAAGACCCGGCTTTTCTCCCACAGACTCCTGACTGCTTCCCAGTGGCCCCGCAGAGGTGACGGGCAACTGCCCCGGGGCCAGAGGCTCAGCTGGTCTGCAGGGGAGGTGCCTCCACAGCAGGTGCCACCTGAGTTCTGGAGGCCAAGGCCCCAGGGAAAGCCAGACCGCTGAGTGGAAACTACGCAGCTGTGGTGAGGGAGAGGCCTAAGTTTGACTTGGCCTCTAACAATCTGGGTAACATTCTTCAGTTTCCTATTTGAAATGTGGGAATAACTGATCTCCAAGGACAGTTGAGTTACGAGCTAACAACTTTAAAGGGCCTGGCAGTTACTATGACATCTGTCAACCGCCAGGTGTCCAAGGCAGGCTAGCAGCGGCGAGAGGAGGCCATGGTGGTGGAGCAGGGCTGGGCCCAGCCCTGCTCCACCCCTGCTCCGGCCCAGGCCTCACCTCTTCCACGTTGACATTCTCCTTGGCACTGGTCTCGAACAACTGGATCCCCATCTGCCCGGCGAATTTGTAGGCATCTTCTGTCTCCACCACCTTCCGCTCAGGGTCATCATTCTTGTTCCCCACTTCAAGGCAAAGCAAAGTCAGCGGGCCCTGCAGGAGCACCCCCGGCACCCTCCATCCCACTGTCCCCACCCCCGAAGCCCAATCTCACCTAATATTCGGCATACGTCATCACAGTTCTGGTTAATTTCATGAAGCCACCGTTTGACATTGACAAAGGACTCGGCACTGGTGACGTCATAAACCACGATGACCCCGTGGGTTCCCCGATAATACCTGTAGGGCCAGGGTCTGCATCAGAGCTTTGACCCACACAAGACCTGCCTGCCCGTGTCCAGAGAGCGGCCAGGAACTGGGAGGGGCCAAACATTTCCCAGCAAGACACCCAGAGTCTCCCCCGTGCCTGACATCTCTTGGACTTCTCAATCCGAGCCTCCGCCAGCAGGGGGGGCACTCATCAGCACCGAATCTCACGCTGTCCCCGGGCACCAGTGTGTAGGGAGTGCTCGGCCCCATGGCCGACAAGCCGGTGGTTCAGAGTCTGCCACTAGCTTGAAACCTCTTTGAAGTTCTTGTTTTATTTTTTAAAACTCAGGCAAGTTTTGCATTTGACATCATACTATCACTTTCCTTGTTTTAACAGTCAAAAAATTTTCTCTCCTCAAATCTTAATAAAATGCCATTCCAAGACAACGCACAACTGTGAAACCTTGCCTAGGTCTACACACTCTCCCCTGGGGACAGCTGGGCACCTCCCATCCTGCCACTCATCCATGCTGCTGGCGGGGTGAGCATGGAAACAGTGTGGGCACGCAGGTGTCCCACATATGCCGCCATCCAAGTGTGCAGACCCCGTGGCCTGCGGTCAGCTAGAAGGGCCAGAAGCAGGAGGATGTACACATTCCCCCCCAGACACTATGCCCCCAGTTCATTCACACAGTTCAGCTGGACAGATGGAGGACATCAACCTGGGGAGGAAGAGGAGGAAAGGACCTCACATTTCCCTGGAGAGCTTTTCCAGACCCAGCAGCCAGGTGACATCCCCACCTGACCCTGAGTAACCGCCCAGAGCTGCAGAGACTCCCACTCTGCAAGGTAAGAACCACTGCCCAGAGTTCTGCCAACTCCTGACTGTCAAGCTGTCTAGGCAATGGGCCTTCAGTGCCAGCCCTGCCCCAGCCCTCTGGCAGCTGCTGCTGAAAGCGCCAGGTTCTTAACAGTTGTTCAGCTTGGTGGACACCCACCTGAGCAGGTACAAGTGCAAGCCAAGAACCAGGGGAAGAGACAATTGTCCCCTGCCAGCAAAGAGTGAGCCATGCAACATGTTTCCAAACTCTCCTTTGCTAAAGACTGTTGGAAGATGCCAAGAAATACCTACAGCTCCAGCCTTAGCTCAAAGCCCCATTGCTCCCTGGGAAATGCCACCATCTCTGGGGCCCACGCAAGGGCCTTCATCAGAGCCAGAGAGACTCAGAGAGAGGCTCAGAGTTCTGGCAAGGAGGGCACCCACGCCTCTGGACTTCCTGTTACCCCCGCCATCAGTAATCACTTCCACTCGCCACAACTTAGCTGTGCCAGGCACTGCACCCAGCGCTGTATATCCACTACCTGATTAATCTTTGCAACAACCTGGCATGACAAGCAGAGGGTTGCCATTTTACCAGTGAGGACGTGAGGCCGAGCGGCCTGCCTCAAGTCACACCACCAAAGCCAGGGTGCCTGGATCAGACTCCTGGGCCAGGCAGCAAAGGGGCTTCCCTTCCCCATCACCTCTCCCTCTCGTCTCACTGCCCCGCACCTCACTGCTCGCTCCTTCCCAAACCCGCACCCGGGCCACGCCTCTTGGGAGGCAAAACCCAGCTACCAAGAGACAAGAAACTGTGAGAGGGTGACAATAGGGCTCTTTCTTGGCAGACTAACAGGACGCAATTTTAGTTTCTCTTTTAATGCCCTGAATCAGAAAAGGCCGCACTATTGTACCATGACCACCCGAATCCCTGAAAAACAAACTCCTGACCTCTTCCAAGTCTCCCCCTTCTTCACCAGCTACCGTCACAGGGTGTCAAGTCTTTCTGGGGCCCCTCTGCAGGGACTGCAGAGCCTTCTGCATCAGGAGGGGCAGAGTCGGGGACCCCGAGACAGAGCTACCCTTGGCCTCCCCAGGCAGACAGGACGGCCAACAGGGGCTGACCTGGTGCCCACAGCGCACCAACGTACTGCCCTCAGGCAGCTGAGAAGCTCCAGTCTCCCCAGCGACGGAAGGAGCCGTTCGTCCCTCCCCCGCCCTGAAAGGAGCTGGCCCCCAGGAGCGGCTGCGGCCCCCCTGCTACAAGGGCCGGGCACCCCGGGGCCCACGGCCCTGGCTGAAGCACTTCTTGCGGCCACAGGCCCAATAAGCTCAGCTGCCCTGAATTCCCTGACTGGAACATCTGCCATCTGCCTCAGCCCCAGTCCCTGGGACAAGAGGTCAGCAGAGAGCAGGGCTGTGTACTGGTTAAAGGCTAGAGCTTTGACATCAGACTTCAGTTCAACTCCTGATTAACCAACCAGCCTAAATCCCTTCACCTTCTCTGGGCCTCACTCTTGTCCCTACGTCGGAAACAATCACAGGACTCTTTTTATCAGGATGAAATGAAATGAAGTAGGTAACATCCTCAGCGACAGTTCCAGCCCAGAGTAAAGACATCTGGGGTCAGTGCCTTGGTCTGACACGAGGTCTTGGTCTTTTTCGGGCCTGGACACACAGGCCACCCAAAGACATCCATCCTGCCCACGGGAGCCTCTGACCCCAGTTGCCTTCCTTAGGGCCTCGCCAGCAGTTCCTGAGACACAAGTAACTGCAGGAAGCTGCCCATGGCAGCCACCAGCAGGACCCCTGGGTTACAGGGAGTCTCGGACCACAGTACACAAGTGCTCACTACAGAGTGACAGAAACCCACAGGAAACTGCTCAGGATCCAGCCCCCTGACCAGAGCCACCCAGCCAGCACCTCGAGTTCCCCTCGCTCCCGGCCACCACTGCGGGGGCTCTTCTCCCCTCACACTTCCCACCCTCAGAAGATCCTGAAGCCTGGATCCCAGCCTGGAGTCCGACCCATTTCCACACTGAAGGGAGAAAAGGGATCTCTGGCCAGAGAACCTCCCCACCCACCTTCCCAAGAGCCCCACTCACACAAGGACCACTGGGGGTAGACAAAGGAGAGGCCTATCGAAGAAGCAACTGCTACACAGCTCCTACTCTAGTGCACACACCCCCGGGTGCAGCTCAGGCTCTGCCACCTGCTGGAAGCAGGACCCCTCTTGGAAGTCCCTCACCTGTAAAATGAGGACCGTAACAGTACTGCCTGCAGAGGCCTCAATGCAAGACCCTCGTGAAGCCCAAGCACAGAGTACCTGGCACAGAGGACTCAGCATTAAAGCAAAGCCTAAAGATAAACCCTCTGGGAAACTGAGGCATAGGTCCTTTAGGCAGCTTGCCCAAGGCCACACAGAACAGAAATGTAAATTCTGAACCATCAACCTGCAAAGCCCTGCTCTTTCCTAGAACCTGTTCCATTAACAGCTCAAGAACCAAGAGCCCATCCACAGGACTCAGCTGTCTGGAGCTCCCGCTGGGCTCTCCTACTGTGTGCAGCTAAGAGGCATAAAGACGCTGCGCCAGCACAGGAGGGCAGCCCGCTGGGGGAGCAGGTTCCCAGTAACCAGCTCTGGGGAGGCCAAGCAGTGGCCTCTCAACAGCTCCCCTCCCAGGCCCCCCACCAGAGAGAAGCCAGCTCCAAGAAGTCCAGGTGGGTAACGGGAGGCTGCACGGCTGACCCTGGCTGTCACAACTGACACCCCAATGAGATAATTGTCATTGACTAAGTGAACACCAGGCAAAGCCAGTATCATCGTTATCCCATTTAAAAGACAAAAGAACCAAAGGCCAGAGGGTAAGCTGACTGTCCCTTACTGTCCTGCCAGCCCCCAGAGCCAGCGTGCTCAGCCGCTGCCCACCCAGGGCAGCAACCACGCTTCACCCCTCTTCCTCTCACATCTTTAGGAAGAGGAGGCTGGCCAGCAAGGTGCTTACCTCCCGACAGCCTCAGGGGCCCACCCCAGTGACATTTCTACCATGACCCAGACCAGTCACTCCACTGTGCCCAAATGTCAGCGGTGAGGGGTCAGAATGGGGGCAGGCGGCCTGACTCACGTGGAGGTGATGGTGCGGAACCGCTCCTGCCCAGCCGTGTCCCAGATCTGCAGCTTCACTTTCTCCCCATTGATCTCCACGGTCCGAATCTTGAAATCCACGCCGATCGTGGTGATGTAGCTGCCTGCACGCACACACACATACACGTCAGCAAGGCCCATGGGAGCCCCAGTCAGACCACACTGCACTCACTCTGGGCCCAGCACGTTCAAGACCCCAGGGATGTAATTATGACTGAGGAAGACATGGTCCCTGCTGCGATGGGGCCCCACGGAGCCCACAGACAAGGCGAGGGCACAGACAGGCTACAATGGAAGAGCAATAGGAGACAGTTTCAAGAGTGATGAGTGTCACTCTTGAGCTAGAGATGTGACTGGGGGGAGGGACAGGCTCTTTTAATTAGAGTGGCTGGACTGTTTGTGAGCTATGGCCTGAGAACTGAGGGAAACATATCATGCACTCTGTTTTTTTCTTTCCTGTTCTACTCCAACATTTTAAGTGACCCACATTTAAAAAACAATGCTCCATGCAGAGGAGACTAGCAAAAGTAGCAGAGGGGGGAAGGGGTCATGTGAGGTCAAGCGTGGAGTCGGAGGCAGGTAAAGGGTGCAAGGCCTATCTCCAGGCATGTGTGTCATCTGGGGCTTTGGACTTTCTTCTGTGTGTGACAGGAAGGCACTGAAGGTTTTAATCAGAGCATGAGCTGCATTATAAACATTATAAAGCTGCATTATGAGCTCTCCTGAGGCATCTATGTGAAAGACAGAGTGGGAGAGAATTTCTGGCCAACCTAACAGTCATCTCCAGGCTTATGAAGGCCCAAACGCTAAGAAGACATGTTTTCACTCCATTTGGAGCTTACAGTATAACACAGTGCTGCAGACAGGACACACACATGACTGAATCTATGAAGTATCAAAACTCTAAAGGAAAGGTCAAAGTTCAAGGTGGGGTGGAGATCAAGGAAGGCTCTGGGGAGGAAGTCACACCAGGGCCTGGCTTGAAAGAGTAGGTAAAATGTCAAAGGTTGAGATCAGGTAGGGGAAGACATCCCACCCTGAGGAAAAAAGCGGAGGCAAAACACAGAGAGAAAACATTCAGGGACCAGCCAGTCCTGGGCCTGTTCAAGCACTGGATGACACCAAGGAGTGTGGCCCAGCACACAGTGCTACAGGCACTCAACAAGCAGCTGGTGGCGGAATGAGTGACTGAGACAGTGAAACAGCAAAAGAATGAACAAACAGAAGGACCAAGGAAGCCAGAAAGGTGGGCTGAAAATAGATGACGAAGACCAGTGTTTTCAACAGAGGACACTGGGCAGTGTCTTCAGACAGTTCTGGTTGTCACAACTGAGGGGAGCGAGGCACAACGTTTCTGGTATCTGGTGGGTGGAGCCCAGGGATTTTGTTCCACATCCTTTACAGAACGGCCCCACAACACAGAACCGCAGGGCCCAGAGTGTCAGTGGTGCTGAGGTGGAGAGACCTCGCTATGAACTCTGCTCACCTAAGAGAGGGCCGTTGAGGCTTTAAGCAGGGGGAGCCCCGGCAGAGCCAGGCACTGGCGAGAGGAATTCAGCCGTCTGATGGGGCCCAGGGAGGGGCTGCTGTCATGCTGCAGGCCAGACCCACTGAGACACTGGGAGGAGGAATGGGAAGAGTGGCAAGACTGCAAAGGGGAGCCCTCCAGGAGTGGAAGGCAATAGCACAGGGAGTCAGAGGGACATGAGGAGGAAGAGGAATATCATTCAGCATCATGAGAAGCTGGCCCTTTAGTGGCCACTCCTGAACAAACAGCACTAGCAACAACCAACCACGGGCATGGACTGCACAGTTACTGCGTTCCAGGCACTGTGACCCGCAATATCATAGATGACCCTCACAATCACCCTTCATGGAAAGGGCGATGATCAGTCCTGCCTCACAGATGAGCTGAGACTTAGTCAGGCTCGTGGTCACAGACAGCTCTTTCCACCCCACACCACTTCACCGAGACGGGCGTTAGCCATGTAATCACTTCCTAGTTTTAGCTCGCCCCTTAACTACATCATAGGGAATCCCCTACAGGACAGCCACCCTTATCTTCGATCAGAGAGGCCAAGCCAGCCCGAAGCCTCTGCAACGAACCCGATGTATTCAGCAAACAAAACCCGTCCACTTCACCAGTGATCAGGGAAATATGAACTTAAACGAGACAGCACTTTTGGCTGACTGGCTGAGCAAAAATGAAGACCACCAAGACCCGGCGTTGATGGGCACTTTTCTTTGAAAGCTCAGGTCTGAGTTTGTGAAGAAGTTAAATGCACACACTGCTATACGCCAATAAACATACAATGTCTCCCAAGAAATGCAGCACCACTGCAACCAGAAGCTAGCAGGCAGCACGCACATACCAAGAGCGCTGCTAATGAACCGAGAGCATCCGTTCACAGCCCAGGAAACTTCAGAACCACTCAAAAGAACCAGAGGTCTGTATGTAGCTGGGGAAGGGCGATCCTTGATACGCAGAGGGTAAGGCTAGTTGCTGACCCCACCACATGTGGAGTGGAGAAGAAAAGTCAGAAAGGCAGACACCTCACTGAGCAGTGGCTACCAGGGCACCAGAAGGGGCAGGTGAAGGGATAGCTTTCATTTTTCCCTTTATTGAGTCTTCCTATTTGAAATTTTACACAGTCATGTACTAACTTGTAATTTTTTTTAACTTTTTTTTCTTTTTTAAATGTTGCGGCACAGAAAGACCCTGGATGGCCAAACTATGGGCCCATAAAGGATCTTTTTGAACCAGACAGATAAAGACCAACCAAGGAAGCTTCTACCTTGTGCCTCCCCCTGCTTCTCCTTCCCTCAGCTTGCAATCAGAACGACAAGGGGTCAGACAGAAGGCGGGGGCCGGTGTGTTCTGGGACCAGGGAAAGGGATTTCAAACCCCAAACACCCCAGCAGCACCCCAGGGGCACACTTACCTGAGAAAGTGTTGTCTGCAAAACGCAACAGTAAACTGCTCTTGCCCACACCTGCAGGAGAGAAAGTAGGAGGTAAGAGGAGGAACAGGCGCTCTCCCTCCACCCCAGCCCTTCCTCCCTCCCTCAGGGAGATGGCACCCAGCTCCTAACGCTGAAGCTCAGCTCCCTCCTCGATGTAATTGATCTCAAGCAGTCACACACCAAGGACATCTCCCCCACTCACTCTGACCTTTTCCTCCGTCCTCACCTAAGATAAGCTGCCCCCAAATGCCCAGGGGTGATGAGAAAGGGACTTATGCCCAAGTCCGGTGCTGAGGGCTAGCCCCAGCAACCCAGAAGAAGGGGCCAGGGGACAGAAATGAGGCAGGGGAAGGTCAACCAAGTGATACTGGCCTCAAAGTACGTCCAAAACGTGGTCCCTAGAAAACTGCACATCAAGTGGAGCTTCACTTTGTGTGCAGTGTGAGGCGAGGGCCTGCAGAGCTAGAAAGAACCCTTGAGATCATCAGGGCTATTTTGCAGGTGAGGAAACTGAGGCCCAGACAACTCAAACCAACGGTCAGCCATCTTTCCCCAGCTGATGTCACTGCCAGCTGGATCTGCAAGTAGCGGTTGTCTGCCACACACCTATCAGCCCAACAGCTCCCATGTGCTCGGGGCATTTCACTCGCCACAGTGTCAGCTGGCACCCTTGTTTCCAGAACAAGCAGAACCCTCCTAAGCTCGGCTTCCCTTTACTCCAACACACAGCAGCTTCAGCCTGCCAGGTGCAACTGTCCTGTGTCCTTCTGTCCCATCCCCCTGCCACCCTTAAGGCCAGCTGGGTCAAATGACCACAGTAGGAAAGAATTAGCATGCCTAGAGTACTGTGTGTGGTGGGCACTTTAATGCTCCTATAATTCCAACAGCATCAATTTAGATGAGGCAACTGAGGCTCCGAGGAGGTAGGCAGCTGGCCTAGGGCCTCGGCAGGAAGTGTGAGCTGAGACCTGAACCCGGCGCCGTCTGCTCCGTGGGCTCTAATGGTCTTTCCAATAAACACTGCTTGCAGAGTCTTCTTGCTTCTGTTTCAGGAAGTGGAACACAAAGACCCCAAAGGGGCTCCTGCATCTCACTCCTGGTGGACTTTTAGCAGCAGTGCTATCAAAGCTAGATTTTAAGAGATCTTACCCTCGGGTCTGAGAAACCCCCAGACTAAGTGCAAATTCTGAGTGTACGTGCGTATTTGTGGGGTGGAGCCCACAGCGTTCACCAGCTCCTCAGAGAGGGCACGCCCCCACCCCCAGCTGTGCTCCTCTAACCCTGACTAATCCAGGCGTCCTCTCTGAGCAGTCCTCTCTGAGCAGTCCTCTCTGCTAATCTCACCTGGAGACTTCTCCAGGTGAGTACATTGTCCAGGGAAGCCCAGGAGAACTTGTTCTATGCAGCGAACCTGGGCCTGACCTTCCTAAAGGCAGGCTGGGGGTGCTGCGCCCATAGTACCTGCTGCTCAACCGGTGCCTGCAGCACTTACTCAGAACCACTTCCTCATTACTGCCTCTGCGAGGCTTCCTGCTGAGCCCAAGGAGAGCCCAAGTCCTGGGCTGGGTCCCTCACAGCGCTCTGCCCAACGCCAACACCCCACAGGCCCTCCCGGCTCCTTTGCTTCCTCCTGGAGACTTCTGGGTCCGCTTACTCAGCTAAAAGCTGTGTCTGGGCAATGAGGCTGTGAGTTCCTCTAGGAAGGAGCTCTCGCCTCACATACCCTGGACATTCAGTGTGCTGGAAGCCAGGCCCAGCACTTAGTAGGTGCCAACAAAATACTGTGTAATGAATTATGACTAAATGGATGCCAATCACACTGACAGCTCTGCTACCTACCACTATGACTGCAACACTGACAGGAGCCAAAGCGGTGGTTTTCAAACTTTTAGGGACAGCAGAATCCTTTTCTTAAATTATATTTTATCTGACTCCCAATTGGCTGAAACAGACAAAAGGGAGGTGCGCTCTCTGCATGAAGCAATGAAGCAGCACTGCCCCCTCCAGCATGGCCTCTCTGGGTCCCCGTCACTCAGCCCCACGCTCCTCTGCGGAGTTTCTGGAAACCACGAGGCTGAAGAAAGGCCACTACAATCACCACATCAACAGCTCCTCTGAGCCTTAGTCTGGGCCTGACACCAACCTCCAGCACTGCTCTTCCCTTTAAAGGAACAGACACCCACCCTAAGAAATGCCATCTCCAAAATATCCCTGGGAGAGGCCTCTTTGAGGAAACACACTGCTTCCATTCATCCCACAGCACTGGCCTAAGGGAGGAAGTGACGAGTCCCAAACTACCTTCACCACAGCTGAGGTCAACAGCTTCCCAAGCCCATACCTAGTAGGAAACCCAACCAGTGCGCCCCATCCTCTGCGCCCTGGAAGGAGTAGAGGCCAGCACTCGATGCCTCCTGATAGGCAGGAGACCTAGGTTCTTCCTCACACACCGCCCTCAGTCAGCGCCCTCCCCGCATTCTGCCTCTAGGGCCACACAGGCAGGGCCTCCACAGGAGTCCCCGCCCCCAGCCCTGCTCCCCCTTGGGCGGCAGTTCCCTCACTCCTCTTCGCTTCAGTTCCAGACTGTTGAAGACCTTTAGACCTTCAAGTAAAATGTTCTCCATTTCAAACCTGGCTCAGTAATTAATTCACTGAATAACCTCAGACAAGTTACTTCCCCTCTCCGAGCCTCAGTTCACTCATGTAAAGTGAAAGGCCTTAACTAGACCTCTGGGGGCCACTCCAGCCTCCGGGGTCTAAGAGTGAGGATGGCTGGCCCCACGGGACAGATGAAACGCTGTTACAAATCAGCCAATGTCAAAACATAAGAGAAAGTGAAGAACCTCAGGCATAAAGAAGAGCTGCAGAAGCCCAGGGAAGCCACTCTAGAAGCATGTACAATGTGGCAGACTGGAAAGAAGAACTCCAGATTTATAGAGAAAGACACTAACATTCACCGAGGGCCCGCTGTTTGCCAGGCCCGACACCCACTGCTCCCACGTGAATCTACGTGAGTCAGTTAACTCCTGGCTTTGCCTCTGATGACCTGTGTCAGTTTGGGCAAGTCGGCGAGCTCTGGGGAGCCTTCGTCTGCATACCTGACAAACTACACAGGCAAAGAGCAGGAGCGAGAGGGAGGGTCTGTGAAACCACTTGCTAAACCTTAAAGAAGCACCCCCTCAAGGAGCCCTGGTCCAGCAACAGCATGATGCTCGTCTCCCGGAGCACCTGCCGAAGCTTACTCTGAATTCTCCGAAGCACTCAGCTTTGAGTGTCAGCTCACTGTCAGGAGAAATTAAACTGCAAAGCGCCAGTCTCCTCTTCACAACATAGCCCTCCATGATCAGACTGAACGAGGAGCCAGACCATGTCAGTCTTGACCCAGTGAGTCTTCTCCCACACCTGACTTCCGAGTGAAAAATCAATACACCATGCAAATGTGCTGTGAGAAGGGGGCCAAAATCACCCCTTGGGCTTCACAGAGAACAAAGGCCAACAAGCCACATCTTCTTGCTGAGTTTATGCTTTTCATTTTTGGGTATCAACACGGGTCCTAGATGTCTTGCAAAGGGACAAGGACCCCTGACCATAGTGGACTGACTTCAATTCCTAAAGGAGAGAAATCACGCTGGGACCTGCCCCTCATAACCGAGGCCAGGGCTGAAATTAAATCCTGTCAACTGAAGGCAGAAGCCTAGGGACCCCGAGCAGTGCCAGAGGCCATCTCCCAGAGCAAGTCTACACAGACAGTCCGGTTTTCTTTCATTCAAACCACAACCCCCTCCTTTCTAACTCCTTCCCCAACCACAGCTACTCTGCATCTCTGTATTAGCCCCTAATTTTGCCCCTTACCTCTCCCTTCTACCAGTAACCACGGAAACCTCAGCCATCCTTCACCTGATCCAGACCACCAACCACAGCCCAATCCAGCTCCGCAGTGAGACCAAAGCCCATCCACTTCCCTGACCCAACCATGACACTGTCACCCAAAACTCCTACATCAGGGTCTTACAACCCCTTCGATGTGGTCCCCTCTTTCCTTAACAGCCCATGGGCCCCACCACCAACCTGGTCTCTGCCTCCAGTCACATGACCCCTGGCCCAAGTTCAACTCAGGTCTGGTCTGGTCTATGAATACTGTGTGCTCCCCAGGCGCCCACCACATCATATAATCCCAGGCCTCAGTCATGCTCCCACAAACCCCCGCGGCCTGCCCCCCTGACCGCTGGGTCACTCCATAAACCCTCACATCGGCCGCACTCCGAGCCTCTAAAACCCTCCACCCTTTCCCAGAAACCAGCCTATCACTTCTAAGGACATTTCATATTCATTCATTCAACAAGTACGCCTTGGGCACCCGCCGGGGGCCAGGCACTGCACCGGGCACCGGAGGGGTGGCAGCGCCCTGAGCTAGGAGCTCTCCAGGCGCGTGGATGGGGTCCGAGCGCATCCGGAATATCGGCGGACCCTCCTCCAGTGCCTGCCTCGCATAGCACACAGCACGAACGAGCAAACGAATACTGAATACACACTACGTGCCAGCCCCTGTCCCAATCACTGTGTCAGCTGTATCTCACTGAACACTCGGTCAGCCCAGCGAGGCAAATCCCTTGATTCCATTTTACAGATGAGGAAAGGGAGCCACTGAGACAGAGCCATAGCAATTAGGCAGGAAACGTGCCAGGCCCTGTGCGAAGTGCTCTACCTGCCTTACCTTCTTTAAACCTCACAGTAATCCCAGGAGGAAGGTTCTGGGAACATCCCCACTTTGCAGAGGAAGAAACTGAGGCTTGCAAGAATATCGCTAATCACGTCCATAGAAAGCATCTACGCCAGGTCGGTGCTCAGCACTTTTCCAGGTTTGTCTCATCAAATACACCACCCAGCGAGACAAGCCCCCAGTTCTCAGATGAGGAAACTGAGGCTCAGAAAGGCGAAACTTGCCCAAGGTCACAGACTGAGGAAGCTGGTAGTCCCAGGACTCGAACCCGGGTCCCTCCAACTCCAGAGATCGCGCGACTTGACCAAGGTCACACGTGAGGCAGCGGCAACCGCGGTGTGTGGACCAGTCGCCCCGGCCCCGACTCCTGCTAGCCCGGCTCCTCCGCCCCGCGGTCCCACGCCCCAGTCTCTCCTTGGCGCGGCCGGGAGCCCCTCGGCGCGCCCCTGGGACAGGCGGCCGACAGGCAGCCCCGCCCGCCCGCCCGCCCCGCGCGGGCCGGCACCTCCCCGCCCGTCTGCCCGCCCCGAGGCCCCCGCGGGCCGCGCCCGGCAGGGCCCACGCCGCCTCCGGCCGCCTCGGCCCTCACCGCTGTCGCCGATGATGAGCAGCTTGAAGAGGTGGTCGTAGTCCCGGGCCATGGCGGGCGGGGGAGGCGCGGGCAGACGGACGGGGTTGGCGCTGGCCTCGCGATCCGCAGCTCCCTCCGGGCTGCTCCGGCAGCGGCGGATCCACTTCCCGAACAAACAGCCGGAACTGACAGAAACACCTCCCTCCGCTCCCCCTCCTCCTCCTCCTTCTCTTCAGCAGCCGCCGCCGCTGCCGCCGCCTCTCTCCTTCCCGCCCCACCCCGCCACTGCGCAGGCGCAGCGCCTGGCACCGCCTGTGCGCAGCCGCAGCCCCGGCGAGCCGCGCCCTCTCCGCGCTCGCGACCGCGCTTGCGCTCTGGCAGCTACGCTGGCGCGGGCTGGCTTGCCCGCTCCCTTCTTGGTGGGCATTGCAGCCGCTGCCCGCGGCCCTGAGGGCTCGGAGAGCTGAGCTACTGTCGAACCTTAACTGAAAGAAGCCGGGAGTGCGGGTGAAGCGGGCCGTAGCCCGGGGCTGACTTGCTCCTTCACCTTCAAGCCCTGCAAGTGCTGTGGAGAGGAAAAGACCAGAGCGCAGCGACCGTAGGGGCGGGACTTACTCAGACCTCCCGATTCCTCGAGACCGAAGGCTCGGACACTCCGCCTTTCCGCATCGACCCCGCCCACGGGTTGCTGGCTGCGGCCCCCGCGCCCCGCCCCCCCCTTCCTGTGCCCCGGGCCTGTGGACTGGACGCCCAAGCGGTTGGTGGCTGCTGAGTTTACAGGACAGGAATCGCCTGCCGGAGCTTAGCGGGTTAGGAGTGTGACCCTTGAGGTCAGCTCTGGGTCGAAATCACATTCTAGCCCTGTTACCTCTTGGAGCCTGAGTTGCCTTTTTGGTAAAAATGGGGAGAATAGTTCGACTCAGAATCACGTCCACCTTGACGTTGAGCCTGGGAGATGAACGACCCGGTGTGTAAGATGCAGCCCGAGTCCGAAAGCAGCAGCTCCCTGGGCTTCAATTTCATCATCTCCAGATAGATACTCAGTTGTATGGTTGGGAAGATCTGGGCCGCCAGAAGTTGAGAGGTACTCGCTTTATCATCAGCCCGTTTTTTTCCAGCTTTAGAGTAAGCTCCCACCTGTCCTAAAAATAGGATGCTCCTACTGCCATCCTCATTACAGAATTGCAGAGGTTTGTAAGTATCCTGTCCCTGTCCAGTAAAGAACCTGTTAGATATTTCTACTTTATCAAACATTTTTAAATCGTTACTATAAAAAGTAGTGCTCATGGTTTAAAAAAAAAAAAAAAAAGTACAGAAGTCTACCAAAAAGCACAATTTACTATTTTTTTCTTCAGACCCAATCCTCACAGGTAACCTCTTGATGTTTCTTGGATACCTTAAAATGCTTAAATAAATGTTGAATGAATGAATGTCCTTCAATGAGTTTTCTATGCCTTTGCAAACACATACATGTGTATGTTCAGTTGCTTTTTTTAAAATTGATTTTAGACAGAAGCCAATTTGTTGTTTCACTTATTTATGCATTCATTGGTTGTTTCTTGTACATGCCCTGACCAGGGATCCAACCCGGAACCTTGGCATGTTGGGCCGACACTCTATAACCATCTGAGCTACTTAACAGGGCCACCTTTTCTCTTTAACAGTATACTTACACATTTTATTAATGGCGTATAGTACTCCATATGGTGGTACTATAATTTTACCACTCTGCTGTTGATAGGCATTAGTGTTGTTTATAAGTTTTTGTTGTTATAACAATGTTGCAGGAAAGATCCTTTTGTTTACTAACTTGGGGAGAGAAACATTGATTTGTTACTACACTTACTTAGTCATTCATTTGTTGCTTATTGCATGTGCCCTGACCAGAGATTGAACTCGAAACCTTAGCATAGCGCATCAATGCAACTTAGCTACCCAGCCAGCACATGGAGTGTCTGACTCAAGCTTTCAGTTGTTTTTCCAGGAGCTGAGGATCAGTATGGTGATGTCAAAAGAACATGGAACCTGAGGGTACTAGCTGGGAGAGGAGCTGCTCATATGACCATTGAGAAATGGTCCTTAGTCTGTGAAAGGTTGGTAGGATTTCCTTTGATCCAGCTGTTTTATTTAGGAAGTATAAGGAAAGAAGGCTGACTCACTGTAGCCGCCAGGCAAGCACACTCAACCCTGACAAGCCAGTGAGGCAGGAGACCCCTCCAGACCATCTTTCAACCTGCTGTGGAGTCCAAGAGGCTTTGGTTCATATGGTAGCTTTGAAATCGTGGCTCCATCCCTTAACAGCTTTGCGCTCTTGGATAAGTCACGTCACAATTTCTCAGAACCCCAGGTTCCACACAGGATACTTGTGAGGATTAGAGCTATGTTTGTAAATCACCTGGCACGTATAGGCATAGTATTTCGTTTTACTGCGCTTCACAGATAGTGTGTTTTTTTAAAATAAATTAAAGGCGAGATCCTCCACCAGCAAAAGGATTACGATTCACTCAAGTCTCACATGATAGCATTTTTTAGTAATAACTTATTTTTTAGACATAATGCTATTGCACTTTTAATAGACTATAGTATAGTGCAAACGTAACTTTTATGTGAAACTGGGAAACCAAAAAATTTGTGCGACTGCCTTTTATTGTGATACTCACCTTATCGTGGTGGTCTGGAACTGAACCCACAGTATCTCCAAGGTATCCCCATACAGGCATGTGTGTGATAAACAGTAACCAGTGCCGTTAGCTAAGGTCATTGTGCACTGACTCATGCACACTTTCAGCCATTTCTTATTGCAGACTCCAGCACACATTTCCAAGGCAGCCTCCTGACATCAGGGCTGCAGGATACTTTTGAGGAGTAGAGCAGAATCGGCCATCATGAAGACCAGATTCCTGACTTGCCTGCACGTGTATTCTGGACAGCAGTAAGCATTAATTCCTTCAGTTACTTAGAAATTAATTATTTAATGAGTGCTATTTGTTCATCACGTGACACGGATAGTAGAAAAGAGCCTTTTCCGTCCAGGAGCTTACAGTCTCATCAGAAGAAAACATACTCACAAGGAATTAAAACATACAAGGAATTAAAAATATAAGATGATGCAATTAATAAAATTGCTGTCAAATAAGCAGTCTAGACTTCAGAGGAGGAGCACTATCACTTTTAGCTAGAATGATAGGGAAGACAGTTCCTGATGGAATTTAGAGAGCTTTGAATGACAGGTGTATTAAACAGCCACTGTTACAGCCTGTGACAATCATCAATTTTAGCTTTGAGGGGGAATTCCCTATAGGCCAAGGTATGTGCTTGGTGTCCCAAAAATGAAGCTCTGATTATATTTCCTGTAGAAACACTATTTCACATTTATTTAAACTACAGTTTAATGAATGGAGCCATGTTTTGGTAGGTAGGTAGGTAGGTAGGTAGACAGGAGATATATATATATAAACTTTCATGACCTGACGTAAGATCTAGTGTGTACTGCTGAGGAGAAACTTTGTTCCACTGAACAGTTAACTTACAGATGAGCTTTTCCAACCCCACCTGTCTGTACATAAGAAACCACACTGGGGAGGCATTGAAAGTTTTTAAGCAGAGGAGCAATAGCAAAATGTTATTTTTGGAAAGTAATCTGGTGCACGCATGCAGAATGGATTTCAGCTGCAGAACTTTTAAGGCGGTGATTGCTGAAGGCCAGGTGTGAGGTAACAGCAGGAAGAGACAGATGCAGAAGGCAATATGCAAACAATATCAACCAAAGCAGCGCTTAAAAAAACAAAACAAAACAAAATCTCATGCCTGGCAATTCATTCACCCATTCAGTAAATACTGTGTGCTTACCAGGTGCCAGGCACTGTGCTGGGCACTGCGGCTACAACATGAGCAAATTAAAGCCCCGTCCTTACGAGCTTATGGTTCCTTCCACACACACCTGAGGGCTACTGTATACCAGACACTGAACTGGGGATCTAGCAGTAAATAAAACTAAAACCCCTGCTTTTGTGGAGCTTACATTCCGGTAGAGAATGCAAATACATGTGTGTCTGAATTAAAAAAGGAAAGAGGGACAGGAGTTTGCAGAGGTTGTAGGGACAGCAACACAATGGAGGTGGTGGGTATATACTCTCCGTTCAAGAAGCTTGGCAGTGAATGAAAAGAGCAAAAGAATGGGCGGTGAGAACAGTGGTGTTGAATGTAGTCTTTTTCAGGGTAGCAGAGGTAGAGGATTAGCAGCAAGCAAATGTAAAGATTGAGCAGCAGGGACTGAAGATGGGTTTAGGGCACTTTAAAGAGCTTAGCTGGCAACAGAGTCTGGAAGTGCAGTCGCTAGAGGGGAGGCTAAGAGGGTAGAGGTGAGGGAGCCTCACTCAGGCTGAGGCCTTGGAGACAGAGCCAACAGTACCTTGAGGGTAGCAGTGGGAGATGAGGGATAGCACAGCCAAGGCCTAGAGGGACCTGTGAAAGCCAGATTTCAGACGGGTCAGCAGTGGATTCTAAAGTCCCTGAGGTAAGTAGCAAGGAAGGAAGTACATGCTGCAATCCTGGAAGAAGGTAGAAGTGGGTGTAAATGGGAATTGAGAGAGAGCAAGTAAAGAGAGTGCCAGGGACTTTAAATGAGCCAAGATGGGGCCCCCATCCAACATGCTGGCCCAAGAGGGAAGGAACATAGGAAACTGCACATGGTCTCCCTTGATGAATCGAAAACTGGCCCTTTATGCCGTACCTGCCTGCCTAATGCCATACCAAGAGACTTGGCAATGGCCTCGCCCTGCCCTTAGGTATAGTTCTCAAAATCAGGTGGACATTTAGTTACTTGATTGCAGGGACCATTCTGTATCCTGTGGGGCCTCATACATGGTAGGCACTTGGATGTCTGTTAAAGCGAAGCCACGCACAGAATTTGAAGTTAGAGAAGGAATATCAGAAATAACATAGTTGAACTCTCTTAAGTTTGCTTTACGTGGGGTATGGGCCAAACTTAGGGTCTCTCACTATAGCTCAGAGTCAAACTGCACCCGACTCCCACCAAACCCTTCAATAGGATTTTCGTCTCTTCATCTTTTAAATTAGATTAGTGGTTCTCCAAGTGTGATCTGGGGACCTTGGGGCTCCCTAAGACCCTTTCAAAAAATCAGTGAAGCCAAAACATTTCACAATACTAAGACGGTATTTGCCTTTTCCACTCTCATTCGCTTAGAGTCTACA